CAAAAAAAAAACCGGAAGTCCTTTCTAACGCGAGTGAAAAGAAAACAAGAAATAAAATAAATAATAAACTTACTTCTGTTGACTTCCACGCTGCTCCTCCCTGGTTTTCTTTAATGAAAAATATCTATGATAAAAAATGACATTTCATAAAATTAATTTACATATATAATATATACACTGTAATTTTTAGGGAGTTATTATAACTCCAAAAATGGAGTAAAAATTTTAGGTACAGGATAACCCCTTTTTGGGGTTACTTTAACTCCTAATTTAACTCCGAATTTGGGGTCATTTTTACTCCTGAAAAAGAGTTCTTTTACTCCCAGTCTTGGAGTTAAAATTACTCCGAAATGGGGTTACTTGTACTCCTTACAGGGGTTGTTTTACTCTTTTTGGAGTTAATTTAACTCTGAAAGTGGAGTAAAAATTTTAGGTACAGGATAACTCCTTTTTTGGGGTTATTTTAACTCCTCAATATCTGGGGTCACTTTTACTCCTGAAAAAGAGTTCTTTAAACTCCTTTTTGGAGTTAAAATAACTCCACGAAAAATAACTCCACTGTAAGGAGTTAAATTAGCCCCACTAGAGGAGTTATTATAACTCCCTGAAAATTACAGTGTGCAGGCCATCCATGAGCCAACATTACTTATGCAAACTTCTATGGGGGATCTCGCCACGTTCAGTCAGGACAAGTTGTTTTAAAAGTGACATAGAGCTGGGTGTCATCCTCATAAAGATGGTAACTCAAGTCATGTAGACTAATGACATCTCCAAGAGGTGAAGTATATGTACGTTGAGGATAATATAGGCTCCAGTACACACCCTTGTGGTATACCGGTCATGAAAGGTCGCTCAGCAGATCGACCACCCAGAACAGTGACAGTGTAAGTCCTGTTGGAAAGATAAGACCTGAACCAGTCAAGAGCAATGCCATTGATTCCAAGTCTTGGTTTCAAACGCGACAGCAGGATATCAGTTATAATCCACTGTATCAGAAGCCGTCGATGGGTCTAGTAACAAGAGTATCACAGAGTTCTGATTACCCAAGGGCCTCAGGCTGTCATCATGAACTTTAACGAGTGCAGACTTCATACTATGATAGGGTTTATAAGCAGATTGGTATAACTCCTTTAAGTCATTTTCTGATATACTGGCAGGTCTGAAAAGCCACAACTTTCTCAATTGCCTTGGCAACAAATTTAAGGTTGGAAGTAAGGCGAAAGCTGCTAAAATCGTTAGTCTTTAAAGACGGTTTCTTAAGACCAGGTATGATGACCGTCAGACTCAGGCAATTAGGTACTTTACCACACCTCAATGAAGCGTTCAGTTCAAAAAACCCCTGCAGACTTCAGGTAACAATTTAGTACGTTTTAGATCTCTTCTCTTCCTAATTATGGTATAAATTCTCGTTTAATTTGCTGTTTGCATGGTTTTCAGTAAATCAGCATAATGACTGAAGTTTTAGCGTGCCTAAAAAAAACCCTGTCACAGCAAATACCACAACAGCGCAAAGCTTTAAAAAGACACTTGCCTTGTAAGCCGATAAAAGCCCTTGATGCAAAACTTGCTGACTCTAAACTTTGACTCTGCGGATAACATTACAGAATTAAAAAGTTTGCAAGATACCTATATTACATGATCTTGGCACTGACGCATCTACTGTAAAAACATTCAACAAACCTTTCATTTTCCTGTGTAACTAATCAACAGACCATGCATATGATGGCCTCTCAGAAGCAGAGTTTGCCCTCCTTTGCCTCGATTCTGTCTGTTTTATCGATTGTGTTTTACTGCGCCGGTTTTCTGAGAGTAGAATTGGAGCTGAACGAACAGAAGAAGAGAATAAACGCTCTTGAAAGCACTGAGGAGACTAAGCTGTCAGACCTTCCCAACTCTCTCTACCTATTGACGTTAATGTCTGTCATCTTTGCGCGCGCTTTATAATTTAGGATCGATGGGACAATAGAAATGTCACGTGGCATTTCAGGGAGACTACAAGTGATAAATTTTGCAAATACGAGTAATCGAGGTCGACTTTGTTTATTCTTATTCAAAACGAAACGGAGATCTTTAAATCATAAATAGTCATTTAAAATTTACAGTTCGATTTTCGACAAGATTTACGACATTTTTGCTGTGAGTGAGGACATCTACGAACGCTACTGCAACAAAATTATCACTCCCACCAGAAATTGTCATTTTTGTCTTTAAGGTAATTCCCTTGTTTTGCACTGCTCACCCTCTACTGTGCATAATATTGTAACATCCAGTTCCCGCTAGCACGAAAAGAACAAACAAGGGCCACTTTTGCAGAGCTAAAGCTTTTATTCGCAATAATAATGCTGCAGATCGGCTGACAGCTTCCTGATTTGCTATCGAAAAACAAGAAAATGAAAGAAATGTGCGTGATCCCGAGTCTGCAGTGGTTTTTCGAATCGCGGCCTTCGAGTTGTGGAATTATTAAAGTGTCCAGGCTGAGGCTTTGGTTGGGGGCTGTGAAGTCTGTGGGACAGCTCTACGGCTCTCCAACTGCATTTACGAGCCAGTATCTGGCCTGGGATCGCTACTGTACATGTGTCGTTCAAACTCCGGGTCTGAAGAGACGAATTTTTCTGGAGCAAATAAGACCCACCAGAACCACGCGAGGGAGACCAATCTTTAATGTAAGCACGAAGTTTGCTGCCGAATTCACATTTCGCTGTGTATAGAAACCAAACAAGCAAACATATGAAGAATAGGAATTAATAGTCTTTTCTTCAAGATTCTTTGTCAAGCATTATTGCGCCAAAGCAAAAAATCAAACCCTAGCTCATCGGAATTAAACAGATCGCCGGCGCTACAAATCGTCAAAAAATAAAGATTCATAAGTCCAAAATCCCATCAAATCTTGACTTCCTTCATTCCTTGGTATTTATTGTACTCTCTTCAAGTATGAATTTCTGTGTTGGCGATATCAAACACATAAAAACAACCGCAAACAAGCTTGATCTCGAATGCATACTTCGAACACGATGGGCGCTATTTTGTATCTCCCTTCAGTCCCCGCCGCACAAATTATCTACCCTGCTCGCGATCTCAAAACCATGTTCACCTTTCACAGCAGTTTGTGAGGAAACAAGCACGGTGACACCAGATTTTTTTCCAGGTATTTGCTAAGACAAACAGTCTAATAAAAAACACATTTGAAGAAAAAAAAAGTTTGATAGTAGAACAATCATTTTTTTCTTTTGGAAAATAGTTCCGTACTTGGTTTATTTGGGTCAAGGCGAGGACCAAGCTAACCACGGGACTGTCCGAAAAAGTGCAATATCGCCACAACCAGGCAATCAGAAAATGATTAAATGAAGTAATACTCTGATTATTTGAATAGAAGAAGCTTTATGTTCGAGATAAAATTTTGTGTGTTTCAAGTAACAAAGACTTAATTCTTTATGAAGGTGATTCAAATTTTATCGCGCAACCAGTAAAAATACCCCAGTTTAAGAACCTCCTGACGCGTAAATTGGCACGGTGACCCCATCAAGGAAACGCTATTCATTATCTGTTGTTTAAAACCAACTCGAACGCGATTTCTAGCATATGCATTGGCAAAAAATATTTTTAATCCCTAATAACACCAGAAGGATGAAATTTAAGTTGCCTTATTTGGTGATCGGCTTTGGTTTCACCGTTTGCGCTTTGAAAGGAACCTTTTCTATGCATACCGTAGATGGATCGGCCAAGAGATGCCAGAGCCACGATCGACGATGTACTCAAAAACAAAGTTGAAATTGAAGAAAATTGATGAATGACACGATGAATATCACAATACTCACACTGTCCATCTCCTTGCAATCAAAAAAACTTTTTGGAAATTGATGACAAATAAACTATAAACTCTAACGATAATATTAAACGGAAACAGTAGTTAAACAAGTATGGTTCTCAAAACAATCAGGACAAGGCTTAGATGTGTAAGTAAGAAGAGGACTTAAGCAATATTGTTGCTAGGGTCGATTCCCCGGGGGGGGATCCCTTATAAAAGGGGTGGAGATGCTTGTCGGACAATTTGAATTAAACCCCTAAAGGAGATCAATCTGGGCGTGGCCCAACCTTTCTTTGACCCCTAAAAGAGACCATTTTAATTTTTTGTTACATGAATGGAGTAATAAAACGTACTGACAATAGATAATTTTTTAATATTGCTTCGCGCGCAATCCTAAATATAATTGCGTCTTGCCCAGAACTCCCTAAGTGAGACCAAAATCCAAAATTTACACTCCTAAAAGAGACGCGGAGCATCCCCTCCCCTTTCAGTTGGGAGACCCCCTCCCCCCACACCTTTTTTATCGCGCTTGGAGTAGTTTTTTGTTAGCCTTTTTTCATATGCGTATTCTTTCTGTAATACTTGTCTCGGCGTCGCGTTACGCAACCGTTATTGTCAATTTTCGTAAGTTCGTTAGGTTTATTGTTTTCAGTCCAGTTTAGTATAAAGTTTTATTTTTTTGGTCCATGTAAAGCAGTTGCTTAGTTGTATCCGGATCTTGTAAGTATAGTTTTTCCTGTATTCTTTTGCTCGTTTTCTTAGTCATTTGTTGTACTTTAAGGTTTTTGGTTCGCGTTTATTAATTCTGTATTTTTCTTTCGTTTTTTTTTTTTTGCTGTAATTTAACTAGCTCTAGTGAATCGAAAAGTCAAAGTCGAATTTCAAACTGTACGTGAGTGTTCTCTACATAAGGTATGTATAATTTCACTTTTGATTTATAGAAAACCTTTTAGAGCAAATAACGCAACAGCGCAACGCTTTAAAAAGAAACTTGCCTTGCACAACATTGAAAGCCCCTTATGTCAAACTTCCTGACTTTGAGTGAACTTTTGACTCTGCGGATAACACTATACAGATGAAATAAAGAAGAGTGCAGAGTTGGCAAGATCCCATAAATCGTGATTCTAATATCGAGTCATCGGCTGGAACAACATTCAACAAACCTTTCCATGTGTAAACTAATGATTAGACTATGATGACCTCTCAGAAGCAGAGTTTGCATTCCTTTACCTCGATTCTGTCTGTTTTGTCGATTGTTTTTTACTGCGCCGGTCTTCTCAGAGTAGAATTGGAGCTGAACGAACAGAAGAAGAGAATAAACGCTCTTGAAAACATTGAGAAGTCTAAGCCGTCAGACGTTCCCAACCTTCACAAGCTAACGAAGAGTGTTGCCGGTAAGTTTTTGTGAGATTAAGCATTGGATGCTTCTCTAACATAATTTGTAATTTTCACTTGTTTTGATATGCCTTAGTTTTCTTGGGAAGTAAATCTTACGAATCCAGAGAATTTTATTCTGTCTTTGCGTGTTTCAGTCTCCAGGAAATATCAAACCGAAGGTGACCAGGTCACATCTTTTCTTTATAAAGAAGTAGTATTAAAATTATCGGCAAAAAAGATAATCACATATCAAAATTTTTTTCGTCAAAACCACTTGCTAATCACTATATTTTTCTAATCTTATTACGCCCCCCAAAAAACAAAACAACAACAACACAGACCAAGTGTTATTTTCAGCATTTTCTAGTTGTAGAATCCAATACCTTTTCGAGAAAGAAAAACTAAAAAACTCTTTCAAATCGTTATGCAGGCACAAAGTACAGCCGCGGAGTCAGTTTTGCAGTTTTTGTTTCTGCTGTAAACGTCAATGGCCGTATTCACACTAGAGACGGATTATCCGTCTGAGACGGGTTATCAGTTGGATAATTCGCGTCAGGCAGATAATACGTCTTAATTTAAAGATGGAACGGTCTTAATTTCAGATAAACAATCCGCCTAACTTTATCCATCTGTTTTTCTGTCAATTTTGACGGATTTTGAAGATGGAGTATCCGTCTCAGACGGATCATCCGTCTCTAGTCTGAAAACGGCCAATAAACGAATTTCTGGTGAGGTTTTTTGTATCTGGCATACAAAATGAACATTTTTCACATTTTTGGCGAGGAAATAGCTCGAAACGATCACGTAATGGATAATCTTTAACAGGTATTCAAAAGTTTGTGGAGACCACTACTTTCAACTCTTCACGTAATGAAAAACATCATTTATCTTTTAAACGACTCAAGACAAATCTATGTAGCCCGACATGTCATCATCGACCGGCTTGCATTATTTGAGTCGATTAAAAAGAAAAGAAAAAAAAAAAGATTAAAATCATTCTGTGAGAGACGAAAAAACAAACGAAACAACTTTACCCCTAGATGGGATATAAAGTGTTCACCCATAAGGTTGATTTCCACTGGTGCATGTTTGGCTACGCTCGTTAACGGACGTAATAAAAAATGCTGAGCTTAAAGTGCCCATCACCTAAAATTTATATTTTCTTATCTGAAACTATACCTTATTAAAATAACTTCTGCGGAAAAATTTTGCAGTTTGAACAAAACGCGATTTTTTCACCAATGTTTGAAGTCTACATTTTTGCGGTACACCCGCGCCGCTGATCATGCAAACTAGCAGGCTCACATATGACGTAAATTAAGGAACTTGCATCACCTTACCTTCACCACCTGTGCACAAAAAAGATAAATAACAAGTAAGGATTGAATCACAATGTCTTCGCAAGAAGATAGGTTTTCCTGAAAAAGAAAAACCTATCAGAACTCTTAATGTTTTCCTGTCGATAAGGTCACGTGTTCCTTAAAGTACGTCATATGACGCCATACTCCGAGAGAAGACTAAGACGAATGATGTGCAAAAATGGCGGCAAATTTGAACGTTTTTAAAGAATTCTAAAAAAATCGTCTTTGGCTCAAATCGAAAATTTTTTTCGCAGAAGTTATTTTAATAAGGTGTAGTTTCAGATAAGAAAATAATACATTTTAGGTGATGGGCACTTTAAACGAGAAGTTGAGTGAGCTTCAACTTTTACGCTTACAAGCGCCCTTTCTTGCATTGCCTTTACGCATGTAACGCAAGTAAAAAATACGCGACACTGGAAATCACCCATCGGAGAAACAATTAGTCTCCTCACTTGCACAAACTGGAAAAATAAACATTGTAAGCAGTGTAACTTTTTTTGTTTGTATGGAGCAATAATTTTTTGGTTTTGATTTTTTTCTGCGATCGTTTCTTTCCTTATAAAATGTCTCTCTGTCTGCGCGCTAAGGAAATTACGTCTTTTAATATGGCCGTTGCAGGTTTGCACGGGCTGTAGTCAAATACCTCGTACGGAATATTTGCAGACGTTTTCCTAAACAAGATGCATTAAAATGCATGGGTCGGGTCTATTTAAGAGAGGAATAATGAGACAGAGAGAGAGAATCTTAGGGCGTTAGCCGGAATATGTGAGTTTCACTAAAAGTTATTTTTAGATGTTGTAATTAAACGCAAGTCTAATTCCTGAGACGTCCGCACATTTAAATCCATTGTTTGAAAAGTCATCAAGTCCACGCGCGACTACCTCAAAGCAAACAATCCACATTGTTATATAGCTGGAAATTTTTTCCCATCAGCGCGCGCTCTCATTGTTTACAGTCGAACCTCTCCACAGAAGGGACAGAGCGAAGTGTCCGTAGTAGAGAGGTGTCCGTATAAAAGAGGTCATTACGATGACGCCACTTTTATGCCTCCACTTACAGTAAGTGTTCAGTAGCTAAAACCAGGCTCACACTCGTCACATTAATTCACAATACAAAGACACTGCCTTTCAGTAGCACACAACATTGGACATCTCAGCTACAGACAAATTACTGTTTTAAAATGAAACGAGCCACAGTGCAATGCTGCACGTAATGCACAATTCTGAAAGCGTCTTTCGCTATTTTGCAAGTGCAATAAACAGTAACTATATTACAAAATGTAATAGAAAAGATCTTTATGCTATCTGTATTTATTGAAGTCTTCATAAAGTCGGTTGTGTTCTTCTAAACACCTTTCGCAAATCGTTGTCTGGTATACAGCAACTGGGCTTTATATCACCTTGCATACTGAGCTCACCGGCCAAACTAGACTGGATCCACCCTGTGCAGATTCACCTGATCAGGATTCGGGATTCACTTGAATACCGCAGTGGCCGTAAGAAAGAGGTTAAGTTTATATGAATTTACTCTCTGGGAAAGAGATGTAGTGTACGTTGTCCGTATTAGAGAGAACCCATATTATAGAGGGTTCCTTTTAAAGAAAACATTAATATGAGATTTTTGTAGAGACATTAGAAACTGTCCGTAATAGAGAGGTGTCCATACTAGAGAGGTTTCCGTACCCAGAGGTTTGACTGTACTTCGAGGTTACATGACAACTAACAACGAAATTGTTTCCCGCCAAAATCTCTGAGCGGGCAACAATGCAAAATCTATGGTGTCAGAGGGTAACAGTGCATCTCAATGTTTTCCGAGGCGTGAGATTCTCGGGAGACAAAATTAAAATCAAGACAAAATCCCTCAGGACCAGTCGTCATGTGTTTAACATTGTGATGGGAACCCACCAAGAGAGCATGATGTCCCATTAATGTCTCATTATTCTCTCTTGTCAACACTGAATAAAAGTTTGTCTACGCTCCAGAAAGCAGATTTCGAATAATTTTGAAGCGTGTTACAATTAGTCTAATAATGTCTGGCGAACTTCTCATATCCCAAAGGTAGAGACTGAGCGTTTCCCCGCTTTTGTCCCATTATTCTCTCTTGGTTCTATTACAATATATGCATACCCTTTTCTCCCAGCGGAACATCCCTTCACCCGCTCTCACCTGTGGCTTTAATGTTCTTTTCCAGGAATCAGACCGTAAAAAAATATTCTTCCACAGCAATGTTTCTCTGTCTGCTGGACCCGATAATGCAACTTTAGTTTGTCCCTGCTAATCACAAGGTATATTGGAATGCGCTGTTCTCAACACTTCCAGTTATTCATCCTCGGTCTATGAATGAAATGATTTACAGTTTGCTTTTCTTTCTTTTCACGCACTCCCAGAAAGATCTTATATTTCATATTAAGGTATATGGCGTACATTTGCGGACAAAAATAATTGAAAATAAAAGACAATTTGAAGTTCAAAAATTAGACTATCCATGTCGAAATCTCGTCATAGGAATTTGAAATCGCAATGGACGCAGTCGAAATAGCATCATTCGAACTTGAAGTTACTTTGAACAAGTTGAAACTGTAAAGGGAAAACTCGACATCGCGGATGTTGAAGTTCAAATCACCATTCCAACTAAAATGCAAATTACATGATTTGAACTTCAATTCACCTTCTCCGCTCTAATAAGCCACTTAATCGTCAACAATGAAACCATAATCTTCCACAGAATGCCAAATGAAACCTTTAATTTGAACTTAAAGTCACGTCACATATTCGAATTCGAAAAATCAAAATTTCAATTCGAAAGGAAGCGGAAGTAAAAATACACAGCAACCGAGCAACGACTAGGTACGAGTCTACAGATGGGAGGCTTGGAACCTGAGCTTCCTCATCTCTGATGTGATCATCGTCATGGCTGCTCGATGGCTGCCGAACAACGAAGAGTTTTTCGTTGGACTGGTTAGACTGTTAGAGGCATCAGAAACTAATCTAAATTCAGCATCATATGATAATTCTGAATTTTTATATCGTCGACTTGATGCTCACCAGAGAACTTTGTCAACTCTGCTAACAGTGTTGACAAGCCTACACGACTCCTGCAGTTCGCGGATGAATAAATTCTAATAAAGCCTTCATAGCTTAGCTTTAACTAGGATGTCCTTTAGGGATTTTCCCTTACGATATGAGATGATGGGGGCTCCTTAAAGATTTCTCTCAGTTGCGGTTGATTTTCTATAAGGTGCCATTTCCCCATGAGTGTGTCCTTTAGGTTAGGCAACGCCGGATGGTATTGTGTTACAAAGGGCAGTATTTTCTTAGGTGCGGTTTTGTTTTTCTGCGCTAGCGACATTTCTTTATCAGAGAATTTAATCTCTGAAAGGTGTTTTTCTACAATTCTAGCTGGGTAATCTCTATTCTGTAGGCGTGTTTTGAAATTACTCATGTTTTCCTCAAAAGTAAATTGAGAGTAATTTGTTCTCAGAAGCCTTAACGCTTCTCCTTTTATAAAGTTTAAGTTTGCTACTACAGCCGTCACAATCAGTTGGATTGTCCCAGAGTCACCCTTATCATTCACATTGTCCGCCATGAGAGTTCGAGTGAAGGGAAATCTTTTCGCGCCAAAATGCAGTTATGCAAACATCCCGTATGTACAGTGTAGTGAAACTCTTATCATTTCCGGTTCCTGTGTATTTTTACTTCCGCTTCCTTTCGAACTGAAATTTTTGTTTTTCGAATTCGAATATGTGACGTGACTTTAAGTTCAAATTAAAGGTTTCATTTGGAATTTTGTGGAAGATTATGGTTGCATTGTTGATGATTAAGTGGCTTATTAGAGTGGAGAAGGTGAATTGAAGTTTAAATCATGTAATTTGCATTTTAGTTGGAATGGTGATTTGAACTTCAACATCCGCGATGTCGAGTTTTCCCTTTACAGTTTCAACTTGTTCAAAGTAACTTCAAGTTCGAATGATGCTATTTCGACTGCGCTCATTGCGATTTCAAATTCATACAACGAGATTTCGACATGGATAGTCTAATTTTTGAACTTCAAATTGTCTTTTATTTTCAATTATTTTTGTCCGCAAATGTACGCCATAAAGGTGCTAATAGGTAAATAAGGGTTATTTGGATTAAATTGTAGCACTAACATTGGGAAACACTGTTCTTTGTAGAATCTGAATATGTCAAGCTCCATAGGAACAAGCGCGTAGCCAATGCACAGAACACCACGGCAGCTATAAACACAGTAGACAGGGAAGCAATTCTGAAGATAAACAAACTATTATCATCGATAAACCTTCAACGCTGTTATTCAAATGGCGATAGCTGTCTCCTAGGCCCTCCCGGTCCACCTGGACCGAAGGGAGACAAAGGATCCCGGGGGCGAAGAGGGAAGAGAGGACCAACAGGAAATAAAGGAGACCAAGGTATTTTGGGATCCCCTGGAAAAATTGGCAAGCAAGGCATCATAGGACCTGTAGGTCCGAAGGGTGATGTTGGACTAAAGGGACAAAAAGGGGACATGGGACCTGCAGGCATGCCGGGAGCTAAAGGGGAACCTGGCGAATCGATTTCAGCCCCTGTTGTTGCCGTGTCCCCTAAAACGCTGACAGTTAACGAAGGTGGATCAGCCTCGTTTCATTGTTCAGTGAGTGGTAGTCCCAATCCTGTTATAGTGTGGAGTAAAACGAACAGACAGTCCAGTCGGTCAATGGTGTCAGGAGGAAAATTGCTTCTTAAAAATGTTCGAGGAAGTGATTCGGGTACATACAACTGTTCAGCGGTCAACAAGTTAGGACAGGCGCAGGCACTTGTACAACTGATAGTAAACGGTAAGATCGTTAGCAAATAAATAAATTGCTGGCAACCATTTGCGATGGTGCTGCTGTCTCCACATCGTACTTCGTGATGACAAATCATCGCAAAATGTTGGGGCGAAAAATAAATAAAACTGGATATGGTATATTGCCTTTCCACGCTATTTATATCTGGTCCCAGTTGTTCGAAAGGTGGATAGCGCAATTAGTTTTCCTAATGCCTATCCACTGGATAGTAATTTATCATATCCGGTGGATATAGTGTTATCCAAGGTTTGAACAACCGGGGCCTGAATTCTGTTGTCAGCTCTACTCTTAGGCATTTTATAAACTCACTTCTAACACTAACCTGCTAACAGTTAAAGGGGCTATGTCAGCTGGAGAGCATGCGCGCCGAGGTCATGCAAATTACTTTCAGCTGTCAAAATTGACCACTCCAGAAAATACCATAACATACTATAATACTCTTTGTTTGTTATCCCAAAATTTTGCATAAGCATTGTTTTGAGTTTCTCTTGGGGCCATTTTAACTCCCAAGAGAAACTGAAGACAATGCTTATTCAAAATTTTGGGGTGACAAACAAAGAGCATTGTGGTATGTTACGGTATGTCTGGAGTGGTCAATTCTATTGTTTTTATCGCCTGACTTTCTCTGTCACGTCCAAGGCTCCGAAATTTACAGAGACGTTTACAAGCAAATTGGGTTTGGATAAGAGATATTTTGATAGATTTTACCGAACGTTTCTTCTTTGGTTATGCTAGATCAAGTTCCCTCAATTTCTTCGTCAAGAATAAAAGTGTCAAGACAAGTAGTACCAAGTAGCATTGGTACTACTCCATTGAAGCAGTCCGTGAATAAAAAGGGAAAGTAAAGTCTGCCATTCTCAAAAAATATGCTCGAACACATACAACACAGTCCAAAAACCTGGCATAATCACGGGATCTAACTCGTACTGGTTCCCTTTCTAAGTCCGTTGAGAACAAGCTGGACGAGCAAACGGTCGTGTTTATCGTTACTTTGAATCAAGATAAATACTTAATTGAGCACAAAAAAAAATCCAGGAGCCAGCAGTCGCTAAAATAACTTAACAGAAAGGTTCTGTGACTGAACTATAAGGAAGATTCCATCTAAGATTCCATCACTCATTGTGGAGTAGCCGTCGTTAATTCTCTGCCAGTACGACGTTTTCAAGTTTGTTTTCATGTTTTCATTGGCTCACGCATGCGCCAGGGGCGACAGCCCCTTTAAGAACGGCAACTTGGATTTTAAAACAACACATGTATTGACTAGTAACTGATGTCCAATTATTTTTAGGTGCAAGCGCTAAAAAAGACGGAAACATTTGAATTTTTAATTGCTAACGATCTTCGATGCCAACTGAAATTCTTGATTACGGTTTTAAGTTAACGGTACATTTTTGTCAGGCGTTCGTAAGTGGAAACGAAATGATATATAGATTTAGCCAGGGCTAAAAGCGAAGCTCTGGTTAATAATACTTATAAACAAAAAAATATATAAATAAATCGTGTAATGCTAAACAGGAACTGCAATGAAAATGGCATCAAGATCAATACATCTAATTAACAAACAAAAAAAAATTGCACATGCAGCACAATCTTTTTTCTTATGAGCAAAAAACCAAATTTGCACGTGCAGCACGCTTTTTTGTCTTTCTTTGCCGTTGTTTTGACGACTACAACGCTGTTTTGCACGACTAAAACGTCAAACTTCATTGTTACACATTATTTTTATGGAGGAATTGTCGTATGTGTTTACCCAATATTTTGTTTCCTATGTTCATGTTCGCTTTTATTTTTCACCGCCGCTCATTTTCACGGTGCTGGCCGCTAGCATTTCTCATTTTCTCACCGCCGCTTTGAATTTCCATGTTTTTCTCCCTACGAAATTCGTCTCCTTTATTTTCAATAACTCGCTCTAGCTCTTTCTCTATTATCCACGTTAGTGTAAACATAAAAAATAACGACTTTGTTGTTGTTTTTTCTCTCTAAAAGTCCGCGCGGCCATGTGATTTCCTTCCAAATAAAACCTTGAGTTGCATTTGGGTTGCCATACCTGTTGATTGAGTTATTTTACATTGGTATGCCTGTGGTGCGGACGAACGGTCGCTCGCTCGCTCGCTCGGTGTACCGTCACGTGTTTACAAAATTTTGTCGGATGGGTAAATTACCACATTTCCTTAGTTATTGGGCGCCGCGCTAATAAAATAACTAAAGGATATAAGCAATTTCAGTTTAAGCAACAATTTTTAGTAAAAAAAAAATGATAATGTGTTAATTTTTTGGGCATCATTATCATCATCTCGTTTTCAAAAGAAGAAGATGAACTCATTTTCCAAAGATCATTGATTTTCCTTTAGTCCAGACCATTTTGAAAACAGTAATTTTCTTTTATAGTGAGAAATGTAGAATTAGAATAAAACTAGCACGCGTAGAACGTATTAAGGAGAATGAAAAAAAAATGCAACGTAGTCAAAGCACCTGAAAAGTAGGAAACTTTAATTTATTGCCCTGGCAATAAGGAGCAAGGGTGGCACGGTTGGTTACGGCACGGCCTTCGGTGCACGAGGTTTCAAGTTCGGTTCCCGGTGAGATTACATCCTTGTTTCATTTTCTCTCTTTTCTGTGTAGTTTTAACTAGCTTTAAATACTCTTAAAACGGAGGATTAATGTGGGTTTCTCAGTTATTACTGTTGCGAGTTATCGACGTAAAATATGGTTGCTTTACTTTTTTTCGCAACATTGTTATACTTCTGGACTTTTCATGTCAAAGTAAAGCTAGCCATTTGTAATCAAAGCAAAGTTAGTCATTCAAAAGAATTTTCTATTTGTTGTAGTTTACCCTCGAGTTTCCCTTCATCCGGGACCTCATCACGCTATTGAAGGAAGTAGTTATACTCTCCCATCCTGTCACGTGACAGGGTATCCTGCACCGGAGGTCACTTGGAGAAAGTCATCCGGTCCATTACCCCAGGGAAGGGTGAAGTACTACAACAGTGCATTACAAATACTCTATGTTCGTAAAGATGACTCTGACCTCTACTTCTGTTCAGCATCAAACCTGTTGGGAAGCGTTGAAAAGAAAACTCTCTTAGTTGTTGTCTCTCCTCCTCGATTCATTGTTAAACCACCTGCTAAAGTTTTCCCAGGAGTGGGCAGCACTTTGATCTTACACTGCAAGGCTAATGGTGATCCTCAACCTGTCATCAGCTGGAAGAAACAAGATGGCCAACTACCTGCTGGACGAAGCCACCAGCTGATAAATGGAACTTTAGTTATAAGAGACATAACAATGAACGATAGAGGGATTTACAAATGTATTGCACCATATGCAAGAGTGTTAAAGACAGAAGCCGTGACTTACACCGAAGTTCAAAAAGGTATAAACCTCTCCATTACGTATATAACGCGTCATAACTATCCCTGACTTCAGTGTTAGGACAGAGAACAGTACATGCATTGTTTCAGCTCCTGATCGATGTTCATGTGGTAAATTCTGTCTGTGATCAGACTCAAGCAATTTTTGTTTTTTTCCGTTTTTGTTGCCGTCGCCTTCGTAGTTGCTTAAACTCCGTATTAATCTTATTTTTAAGCTTCTCTCAGCGATTCCTGAAATAGCGTCGACTACAGCTAGAGAAGCGATCCATATAACTCCCAAAGCTTTTTTTGTTTCTTTCTTCTTTTTTAATTTTGATCGTATACGTTGCCTCCGAAAGAAAAGTTGTAACCGTTTTTCTTACTATAGATTTAGCCAGGGAGGGCTAAAAGCGAAGCGTCCACTTATATATTTTTAACTCATGATAAGCTTCTGAGGCTATGCAAAGACTGACTGACTAACTGATTTTAAAACAAAAAGAAAAACTTCAAAATCAAGTTAGATCGTACTAATAGTCATATATGGAAAAGAATTCTGATCCTTAACTCTGCATCGCTGAATCCCCACCTTCTCCACACCTCTTTGAGAAACAAATAAACCATGAAATTTAATGTGTTATAAACTATTAGGCTGGTTGTCATTGAAGAAACTCCTCCATTGACTGCGTCCATTTTACAGTTAATGTTTCTAGGTCAATCTTCTCGTCTATACGCGATTCAGCCCAATTTGTAAAAAAAAGATGAACCGATTTTTGTGTTTAGAATATGCTTCCTTTCTAAAATTGGACCCGACTAACCGTTACATATTAACTTGTCTCTTCAGCTTATACAGCACAATATCTGATACTCAGTAACCTTTACTGTAAGTTACACTTTTCTGTTTCTCCTGGCGAAAAGACCCAGGAAGGTTGATAACTTATTTGCCGGACATTTCCCAAACTGCCCTTTGCGTTTTGTGTATTTTAATGCAGCTAAATGTGCGCTAGTCTTCAACTATAAATTATAAACGAGACAACTTATTCCAAAAAGGCGCAGTCCTTTTGGCAAAGTTACGGGCCTGTCGTTAAAATGATGCAATCTTGTATGTACTCTCTTTTCGCCGAGCATAAACAATGTGATTTAACGTGTAAAAACAGGCGCAAATCACACGGCATGCCCTAACCATTTTCCAACATAAGATTTCGGATGTAAACCGCTGTAAGCCCTGGATTTTATAAGATGTATACCACCATGTCGTGTTTTTTCCCGCGATTTTTAATAATTATAATGCATTTTCTTTGTCTCGAACGCGTGACTTTAGATTGTTGTTCAGTCGGTCACAAAATGTTGAGCCCAGCGTCGACATTATTTCGCGTAGACAATATTTTCCTTTTTTCGTAGTTTGATGGGGTTGCATAAACAAGTTTTCTAGTATCAAGTATCGTAGATTTATATATGTATTTGCTCGTGAAGGACTTGTAAAAGGAGCGAAAGAATTAAACAGGGTTAAACGCAAGGACTGGAAATTTCAGTCTACCTAGTGTGTGACCTTCTCATCGATGTGCACCACCTTCGTTTTAGGAGCTCTCAGCTCATCCAGCATTCTTGACAGCCATGGCAGCAAGTATCTTGGCAAGTTGAATTCATATTTAGACCCAGTGCTTCAGACTACAGGCCGCAGCAGGTTTGTGAGGTGTTGGCACGCTAAGACAGATGGTTGGGCGGCATCAACATTTCACAGCAACTGTGATGGAAAGGGTCCCACTGTAACCATCGTCCAAGTCGGCAGTTACATATTTGGTGGATATACTGACAAGTCTTGGTCCAATCCTAGTAAGTATTAGTTACATATCTGATGGATATACTGACAAGTCTTCGTCCAGTCCTAGAAAGTATTAGTTACGTATTTGGCGGATACGTTGACATGTTTTGGGGTGGTAAGCATAACCTTACGGAAGCTTTAATAGCAAACAAATTATATCATAGGGGATAGGGGATTATTAACCTAACTGGCCGGAAAATGGTTCAAAAACAAAGATTTGGTCCAAAATGCGGTGTTTTCCTAAAATTTAGCTGACGGCAAAGGGTAGCATGAGAATGGCTAAATTAGACACTCAGGACTTAAATTTCTGCTAATTGGATTTAATTAAGCAGCGGGTTTGGTTTTCGCGCATGCGCATAAGCCAAAATGTGAACTTGTTTTCTTTTTGCGACTGTATTTCGATTTTTTTTTGTCTCGCTCTCTCTTTCTCCCTTTGCGTTTCTTTTTATAAGCAGTTTTGTTGCCCACTCTACCGTCTTTCTTTAGCAGAAAATTTTGGCTGGCTTTCTTTCCAACAAAGGAAGAAATTTAATCTGTAACTGAGTAGTAAGTAAATAGCAAAATTGGTAGTGGATTTTTTTGCCCAAAATGTTGCTTGATTTTTTTTTGTCTGTAACTGTCAGAATTGGTCAAAATTTACTAAATTAGGTAACAGTGGAAAGCTCTTTTCTCGCTTATTTTACTAACTAGGTTGTACAAATCTCTGCAAATCTGCAAAATTCTCCACTTCAATCCAGCCACTGCATCTACTGGCGGAAGATCATTTTCAATGCCGCACAGAGTCGGAACCTGGCTGCCAGTAAAGATGACCCAGCAGATCATCCCGCTTGGAACACAAATATTTATAGCTTCCATTGTCCCCCTTGCTACTTTTTAAAATTGCTACTATTTAAAATTATTCAAAACAATTTTAAATAATAACTGAGAAATGCTTTTCCACAGGTTCTTGTCGTTCTGTCTATTCAAGTAAATCGTTCCTGTTCTCGTTATATAACATCAATGGCTACGCTCCTGTTAAGGTGAACATCAAGTCTAGTCGTTACAGTACCGCTATCGACACATGTTCCAGATACGGACCAACCTTTGGTGGAGCACACGACCTGCACATATCCAACAACGCTGCAAGCAACCGCAATTCCTACACTAGTTGTGGCTACTCCTACCCTCTCCCTCATGGGTACTCTGCATATTACTCTTCCTGTAGATTTTATGCCGGTGGATCCAGTATCTACTTTACTCCCATTGATGTTGAAGTGTTTTATGAGACAACAACTCAAACCCTGTAAAGGTAGATCACGTCTGCCAACCCAAGCCGAGTATAAATACATCATATATGAACGCGGTTTCGTAGACTCCCAAGGAAAAGTGTTTTAAATGGAGGTTTTGGTTTGAATTAAGTAATAACAAATTCTTTTAAAGTCAATTCGGAGATCGTTCAGGAGCCAGTGAAGATTCACAAGAAGAACAGGCTGGTATAATATGACAGGACTTGGGTAAAAGAGGAACAACACAGTTGCTATACAGCTGCGTTCTGCGCACGTTGGAGCTTTTATCATGCGCTTTTAGGTAAACCATTATAACAACGAATTACAGTATTCAAACTTTAGACTGTTTAGATCATGGTTGCAATTTTAGTACACTAGGTTAAGTTTAAGCTGTCCAGATGAAGGAAGTGGTGTATTTCGAGAATTAAAGTGTTTGACTGTTACTATATAGGAAAGCTGAGCGATTTAAGAGGTACCTATACGTATGAATTCAATGTTTCCAAATGAAATCACAATTAATGAGGTTGCAAAGGAAATAGCAAAGTTGAATCCAAAAAAGGGTTTTGGCGTATGAAGGGTTGAGTCCACAGATGATTCAATGTATTGCAAATTAAATAAGTGAGCCGTTCACCCACTTTTTTCAATTCAAGTTTTAGTACTGGCAAGGTTCCTCATGAACTAACATTTCACTAATAACGCCGGTCTTCAAAGCAAATGACAACAAACAGCTTACCAACTACAGACCCATGTCCGTTTGAACTTGTTTTTCAAAGATTTTGAGAAAAGCTGCTATACCGAAGGCTTTTAGATTACAAGTAAGCACTCAACCTTTCTTGCACTCATGAAAATTACATAAAAAATTAAAATGGCAATTGAAAACAATGAATTTACGATTGGAATTTTCCAGGATCTGTTTAAAGCATTTGACACCGTAAATCACAACGAACTGTTGCAGAAATTAGATTTTTATGGCATAAGAGGTCTATGTAATAACTGTTTCAGAGATCATCTTGCCGAAAGGCAGCAAGATGTTAAAAACAATTCCACCTATTCTGAAAACAATTCAATAAATGTGGAGTGCCACAAGGCTCCGTACTAGGACTGCTGCTGTTCCTGTTATATGTAAATGATATTCAGACATGCTCGAATTTGCTATTTTCACACTATTTGCCGATGCAGACACTAATCTGTATATTTCTGGCAAGAATATTGAAGAACTTGAAACCCTTGAAACTGAGGCAAATGAAACGTGTACAAGCAGGGGCCCATAACCCGGAGCGAGCATCCCCATTTTTAGACACATTTTTGGGCAATTTTTCCCGCGAAAATGGAATCTCCGACACGTCTATGAACGCATTCAAAATGTAGGATATCAAAAAGGAAAACGTAACGTCATTAACAGGCAAAAATTATTATTTTTAGGTTTGTAGGTTTTGCTGACTGGTTTGTGGGACTTTAAAGATATTCTAAATTGTTGTCAAAACCTTTCTAAAAATAAACTGGTCTCTAAAAACGCCGTGACACGAGTACATGGAAGTTGCTCGCTCCAGGTTATGGGCTCCTGGTACAAATATGGCTTGAAGAAAGTCAGTTGACGTTGAACCTAAAGAAGGCTGACTATATTATATTTAAATCCCATAAGAAAAAATATAAGAAAGAACTGAAGATTACGCTGCTGATTAGAATAAATATGACTTACAGAAATAAAAAAGGTATTAACACTAGTTTCTTAGGAGTAATGATATATGCGAATCTGACGTGGAAAAATCATAAACTATTTAACATGCAAAATAGCAAAAACAGCAGGAATTTTATGTAAGGCTCGCCATTTTATAAAGAATGATTAATTATTACATCTGTATTCCTTACTGACATACCCTCACCTTATTTATGATAATATTTTCTGGGGTAATAATTATAAGATAGGACAGGATAGACTGATCAAAATACAAAAGAAAGTAGTGCGTGTGATAACTTTTTCCTCGTACACTGAGTCATTAAAGCCGCTCTTTCAAAAATTGAATATTTAATATTGAACAATTAACTTCAGCAAACAATCCTTTTGCACACACCCCACAAACCTATGAAGGAAGGCGGTGTCTGCATCGTGGAATCATGACAAAGGTTTAGTACCAGTGAGTACAGAATTGCAAGCTCACTTTAAAAGTCTTAAACTTCCAAAAATGCTTTTGAGCGGGTTATTAACATCAGAAGGATGAAAATTAAGTTACTTAATTTAATTCGCTCGGTTTTGGTTTCATTTATGTGCTTTACTTGAAAGAAACCTTTTAAAAGCGAATAGATGGATTGGCCGAGGTACGCCGTTACAACGCCAATCCACGCCTTTTGAAATATGCTTTCTTTATTACTAATAATAATAATACCTGTAATGATTAGCTTTCACAGCGCGCGTAATGCGCCTTAGTGCAGACGTTTGAAAGGGATGAAAGAAAGGGGAAACTAAGACACCCAAGCGCGGGGGAGCCTATCCTGTTTCTTTAATAGTTTGTCACGCAGGTTGGGCACGAATTGAACAAATAATAATAAATAAAAAAATTAAAAGCAGCATATAAAGATAAAAGTTGTAATAACATATTTGAAGAGTATGATCAAAATATACATTCAACTCTAAGACTACGGACACCTGGTGTTGGTCCCTGTCGTTTTTCAGTCATTTTACTGACATTTTACTGTAACTATACTCTCTGTAAGACGTACACCTCTCTAAGACGGACAACGGACACTTTTGAAACCGTCAACAGACAATTAGGAGGTGCTTTATGTAGTGAAAAATACTTCAAAACGGTAATGTAGGTGCTGTACATGACAGTAAATTGTGAAAAGTTTTGATACTTTGTAGTCTTGAACCAGTTCCTAGAGTGTATACTGTTACGCTTTCAGATCACGAAGCCGTGAACGTTTAGTTGTAATGAATGCTTGATTGCACAATGAGAAAATGATTCCACTTTCCGTCTCAAGTCCCAGTTTTAGCTGTTTTCAGTACAAATTAAAGACTCATAAAACAGACGTGTATTCATTGCTAAGAGGTTCAGCTTAAAAATAAAATTGGTATCACGATACCTCGATTGCCCTATTAGCTGGACGTCTCTCTTAGACAGACAGTCAGAGTCGGTCCCGAAGGTGTCGGCCTTAGAGATGGTTGACTATTTTTTAGATGAAATTGAAGAAAACTAATGAATGAGAAGGGATGAACGTCACTATTACTCACTGCCGTCTAACTCCTAGAGATCCAACAAAACTATCTGAAAAAGGATGACAAATAAATTTTATTAAAGTCTGGAGATATCATTAAACGGAAACTGTAGTCAAAACAAGTGTGACTCTTGCAATTGAGTCTCGTAACAATCGGCACCAGAGAATATTCAAGTTCAAGGGTGAGGGGTACAGGAATCAGAATTTAGACCGTCGAACTCCTCAGTCTCTTTTTTCTGTTACAACGATCTCTCCCTTTTACATTGTATCCCTTATTTTTTGGCTTAAATCTACATGTTGACAAGAAGAGGACTTAAGCGCTATTTTTGCTTTACCTTTGCGAGTCAATCAGTACTTAGCTGTACGAACTTCCTTTAAAAGTGATAGGTAACTAAAATAAATTGTTGTTGTGTATCGTATTCTCTGTTTTCATCAAAAATAGAATTGCAAACCAGTCAATACAGAAAGTCCAGAAACTGGGAAATGAAACGGAAGGTAAATATAGCAAAATCCTCGCCTAGAATTAGGTCTGTGCGTTTTACCTAAATTTAGAAAGCTTTGTAAGGAGACGCCATGTTGGTGTCCCTTTGGGGGCACAATTAAATATGGCCGCCGAAAACTAACGGAAACATCAGAGTCCGTTTTTGAGTTTTCCTACGTAACGCATGAATTCTTTTATTGAGGAACTCATAAAGATCAGAATGAATATAACTTTTTAAAGTTAAAAGTTATATTTATTCTGAGACAAGGAATGTCAAGAGAGCAAAGTCTCAAAAAAAATTGGTAAAACGTTTTTAACCCAAATAATAGCTTTCCAGGCTCCCAGCTAAACGGCCGCGTCACGCAAAACCCTGAAAGTTCAATCGTCCTCTATTGCAAAACATAGAACCCTTTCGAACCGAAAATTTGTAAGTGCTGTCAGTAATACCTCGCGATAATATATTACTTTAAATTTTGGTGACGTCATTTGAAAACCGAGAATAAGGAAGGGATTTACATGTAAATGTACATATCGCAAAACAGCCGAACTACTGGAATTCTGAAAAGTCACGATAATGTACGTTTGAGATAGTACTAGTAAGTATCTTTCTCTTATTTATAAATTTTCCTTAATTTTGCTTTTTGCATGGTTTTTCAGTAAATACGTTAAGGCACGTGCATGTTTCTAAAATAACACGTGTTACAGCAAAAACGACAACAGCGCAAAGCATTAAAAAGGAACGTGGTCGCTGCAAGCCGATAACTGAAGCCCCTTATGAAAAACTTCCTGGCTTAAAGTGAACTTTGACTCTGCGGATGATATTACAGACAAGATAAGAGGAGTACAAAGTTGGCAAGATACCTATGAATCGTAATCTTCGCATTGACTATCAGCTGTTACAACATTTAACAATTCTTGCCATATGTAAACTAATCATCAGACCATGATGGCCTCTCAGAAGCAGAGTTTGCCTTCCTTTGCCTCGATTCTGTCTGTTTTATCGATTGTTTTTTACTGCGCCGGTTTTCTGAGAGTAGAATTGGAGCTAAACGAACAGAAGAAGAGAATAAACGCCCTTGAAAACAACGAGGAGACTGCCCCGTCAGACGTCCCTAACCTTAACCAGTTAGCTAAGAAAACTCGTGGTAAGTCTTTTCTATTCTAGTTTACTAAGAGTATGAATATTTTACCGTAAAAGTATCACACAGAATGTTTATTTTATTTTTGCTCTAAAAATAACTCTGCGATTTTAGAAAATATCCTGTCCTTGCGTTTTCGTGGCGCAGAACTAGTAAAGAAAACCGAAGGTGAACAGGTCATCATATGCTTTCTTTGTAGGGAAGAAATATTCAAAACATCGACTTTTGATCACTTGATGATCTTTGTTTCTCAAAAGTAGGTGAACTGTCTTATTGTGTCAAATAACACCTGAACTTTTTAAGTTTTAGAAACCGAGCATCGATCGGACGAGTAATTATCATTTCGAGCTTCTCACTCAGTCTCGTCTCAATAAGCAAGTTTTCTTATAAGGAATATTAATATTTTCTAACCTGATTCCCTTTCCTTATAATTGAGTTAGCATGACATTAAAAACGTGGTGATTGGGAGTATATATTGATACAGTCGTCAAATTTGAGTAGACAACACTTTATTTTCTCGGAGAAGAAAAGCCCTCATTCCTTTTTGGCGAACAAACATTGTTATGTTTGGAGTTAGTGGACCTTTTTCTTTTCCCTAGATTGACCTGTCAATCACGAGGATAGTCTGCATGTTGTATTTTCGGAAGAGCAATGTTTTTATTTCCTGTCTATAGCCTGTGTACAGACCCCCCGGCTCCCCACAGGAAAAATAGGAGAACGGACCCCTTCTCCGATTTTTCCTGAGGGGAGGTGGAGTCTGTACACAGGCTAGCCAGTCAATTTCTCTTGTTTTGAAAGCAGAGAGGCGAATAAGTGAGATCTGTGAGGCTGAGGTGAGGTCCTTTCCTAATCTCCTTCTCTACCAGCTGACCAAGTATTCAAATTTATTTTTAGTGCTATATTACCCAGAGTACCAAACGCCTGTCATCTCTCTCCTTGGAAAACCTCGCCTGAAAACCACGCCAAAATGAGATCACCTGAATCGCCGGCGAATGTTACAGTCATTTTTACTGTATAAAATTTGTGGACTCTCGTTACTACAAAAACATAAATTTTTTAACTTTATCAACGACTCCACAAACAATACATTAAATTACATATAGTCATATACAATGCTTTAATTTACTATACAGTGTGCTAACTAAACCCATCACTCTTCTTATATTGATTAAATGTCAACATTTAATGCAACCTTTGAAAGTTTAGACTCAACTGTGAGTACCTGTATAACCACCTTTCTAGTTTCACTCCTCTGCGTTTTAATCAATTCCCTTATCTTCTACTTAATTCAGTGTTAAGGCCAATTTTTCAGTAGCTGCCTTTAATGTAAGTTCGTTCAGTTTTTCTGACATTTTTCTGCACTGGCGTTTTTTCCCTTGTATTTGGTTTTGTTTTAATTCCCACTTCAAGTGACGTCTGGCATTAGCATCTCTACATTAGAGATCCAGCAAGAAAGAACCAGTCAGTTTTATTTACGCGTTAAGTGGACCTCTGCATTGAAGGGTATTTACTAAGATTAACTAGGTAGAGGGTTCTCTGCTTTGATCTTTAGCCCTGACATATTAAAAACGTTCTTTGTAGAATCTGAATACGCCAAGCTCCATAGAAATAGGCGAGCAGCCGATGTACTGAAAAACACCACGGGAGCTAAAATCACAGTTGACAGGGAAACAATTCTGAAGATAAACAAACTGTTGTCCGAACTAAAACCTCAACTCTGTCATTCAAATGGCGATAGCTGTCTCCCAAGCCCTCCCGGTCCACCGGGACCGAAGGGAGACAAAGGATCCCGAGGACGAAGAGGACACACAGGACAATCAGGAAATAAAGGCGACCAGGGCATTATGGGATCTCCTGGAAAAAGTGGCAAGCAAGGCATCATGGGACTTGTAGGTCCGAAGGGTGAGGCTGGACTAAAGGGACAAAAAGGAGACATAGGACCTGCAGGCATGCCGGGAGTTAAAGGAGTACCTGGTGAATCAATTCCAGCTCCTGTTGTTGCCGTGTCTCCTAAAACACTGACAGTTAACGAAGGTAGATCAGCTTCGTTTCAGTGTTCAGTGAGTGGTAATCCTAAACCTGCAATCAATTGGGGTAAACGGAACAGTCAGTCACAAATAAGCCGATCAATGGCTTCAGAAGGAAAGTTGCTTCTTACCAATGTCCGAGGAAGTGATACGGGTACATATAACTGTTCAGCGGTTAACATTTTAGGACAGGCGCAGGCACTGGTACAGCTGATAGTAAATGGTAAGACCTTTATGAAATAAACAAAAGAATAAATAGTAAGAAACCAGTTTCGAAGACTCTGCTGTCCTTACATTTTGCTTCGGATAAATTTTGTCAAAACATAGTAAAAAATTGTTACAAAACTGAATATCATAATGATATTGTTGTTGTTGTTGTTATTCTTTTTTTTCAGCGCTACTTATGCCTTTCTCATGGCTTAGTCAGCTCTATCATAAAATCTAGTCTTAAAATCCTAGAATCCTCTTATCAACCTCATTATGCTATTGAAAGAAGTAGTTATACTCTTCCATTCTGTCACGTGACTGGCTATCCAGCGCCCGTGATCTCATGGAGAAAGTCATCCGGTCCATTACCCCAGCGAAGAGTGAAGTACAACAACAGTGCATTACAAATTCTTCATCTTCGTAAGGTGACTCTGACTTCTACTTTTGTGCGGCATCAAACCTGTTGGGACGCGTTGAAAAGAACACCCTCTTAGTTGTTGTCTCCCCTCCTCGGTTTACCATTAAACCACCTGCTAAAGTTGTCGCGTGGGTTGGTGAAACCTTGATTTTAAACTGCAGCGCTACTGGTGATCCCCAACCAGTCATCAGCTGGAAAAAACAAGGAGGTCAACTGCCTGTTGGGCGAAGCCAGCAGATCAATGGCTCATTAGTTATAAGAAGCCTGACATTGAACGATAAAGGGAACTATATTTGTGTTGCACCATATGCAGGGGTTTTTAAGGCTGAGACCGTCACGTACACTGAAGTTCACAGAGGTAGGTTTCATTCGTAGTTAAATATATCCTTCAGTACAAATGCAAAGCATGAACAAAGAACAAAGGAAAAACTAACTACTTCATATGTATGCGCCTACAGGACATTGCTCGAGCTGCGGGTATAATGTCGGGCCACAGGCGTGCCCTTTCTAACTTAACTTATTTTATTTTATTTTATGGCTATAATAGTAGTATGCGCGCCCTGATTGGCTGAGAGGGCAAGATTTTCTTGTAATGACTAGGCCTTATGAATATTTTTTCAGTTCGACGAGCTGTGAGTGAAAGCTACGAGAGCGATGAAGAAGATTAACATTCATAGCAAATGTCACGGAAATCACTGCAAGTTCTCCCCACCTGTTTAAAGTTTAATCACAAACTGGGCCTATCTTTGCCTTAGCTTTAAACTTCTTAAGGGTCAAACGCTTGTGAGCAGTCAGTGTGTTTTCGGAAATTAAAGTGGTTAAATTTGCCCTAGATCTTGACGTAAGAAAGACCATAATTGTCTCATTGTCAACGAAACTGTATCAGACTTGCCAACCGCCGAGCGGCAAAAAGAGTTGGATAAGGCAGTAATGTGATGAAAAGGGAAAAAGTCGTCCGATGTCCCCAGTTTTCTAGTGAAAGAATTTCACCAGGGATTATCGGTGTTAGTAGTCACCATCTATTTAAAGCTGGAGCAGAAGGCACCACGATCAATGTTCTTTGTCGCTGCTGACATGAACACATTGTTTGACCGCTATTTTGAAATGAGAGCTATATTTTGGGTTTTTAAACAGTATAATATTCGCCAGCATGCCTATTGTCCCATCACGGGGAACTAATATTATATAAGTATGGGAGGAAACCGCGACTGCCCCAACCACTATGCTGCCTTTCACACTACAAGGAAGGGGGGCTACACCGATAACTAGAATTAGACCTCCAAACACCTGTAGTTCCTCCATTACTTAGAAACCCCAACCACAGCTACACTCGCATTAGAATTGAAAACGGCTTAAAAGACGGATGCCGGAATTTGGAGTTCTAAAGACCTTACGAACCATGAAAGTGCTCATCGCATGGCGCTAATCTGAGCACGTTAACGTCTTGCTCTGAGGAGAAAAGGGACCAACAGAGGGATGGGTACCCTGTGCGGTATATCGTATACTAACATCTCACAAAAGGAAAAAACTGGTTAGTAGTAACAAATGGGGAGGAAGTCCATAAAACCAATCAAAAAGCGGCTGAATACCCGGAAATATATACAGGGAAACCCAGGCTCGTTTGTCCAGAAATATTTTGCCTTTCTCTAGCTTTGGTAATTTCCTGGCAATATTTGCTCCTTCAGATAGTTATTTTACAGCAAAGGGGTTCAAGTCAACCCCATGCTAGGGTTCGATTACCGGAAAGAAAAGACTTAACGTTGCAATCATGTTACTGGCGCCCTTCTGCCTCTTTAATATTGATTTCTGTAATAGATCCCCAAACCTCCCCACTTCAAGGCAGCAATATTAATATCCCCAAGGTTTACAGTTTGTTCAGTGTCCAGGTTTCAGGGTTAAGCCCTAGTCAGTTCGATTCCAAAGTGCTTTTCCAGACCAGAACTAAAATGCTCTAAAACAGGTAAAAAACATGTTATCAGAGCAACCTACTTGTCCCAGTGTTCATCCGCAATATAGTAAATAAAAATACAGGCCTCTGTTTAACAATAATTGTTAATTTAGTTGAATATATATTCAGAAAAATTCTAAGTTTTGTTTTGAGTTTCATCCCGGATGCCACATTGTTTAGAACTGGTCAGGGCGTTAATCTTTTTGAGTCAGACAATACGGTGTAAGAAATAATAAATGATACAAAAATCATGGTAATAAATGATGCCAGATACAAAACAGGATGTCACCGATGCAAGGTTTGTTTAGGCATGGCATATGACGAGACGAAACTATCCAGTTCCATCCGAAATAAGCAGTGTTTCTATAGCTAAACAAACTTAAACAACAAAATAGATGAAATAAGTATTTGTTATCCTGTGTAGGTGCCCTGAGCTCATCCAGTATCCTTGGCAACCTCGACAACAAATACTTTGGCAAATTAAATTCATATTTGTACCCAGTCCTTCAGAGTCCCGGTCGCAGCAGGTTTGTGAGGTGTTGGCACGCTAAGACAGATGGTTGGGCGGCATCAACATTCCACAGCAACTGTGATGGAAAGGGTCCCACTGTAACCATCGTCCAAGTTGGTAGTTACATATTTGGTGGATACACTGACAAGTCTTGGGGTGGTGAGTATTGCTGGTTTTCAGTGTCACGCCATTCAAAGTAGATAAAAATAAAAATCAAAACCAGTAGACAGATAAAGTCCAGAATCTGGGAAATGTCAGGAGGTAAATATACAAAGACCCTCGCCAAGATTTCGGTCGAAGGAATAATTCGTATACGAGATATCTTAGGAAATGTTTTACCCAAATTTATAGAGCTTTGTATGGAGACGCCATGCTGGAGCTCATCCGGATGAGCTCCAACATGGCGGACGAAAACCAACAGAAACATCTGTTACCGAGTTTTGCTACAAAAGCGTGAATTTACTCCTAGAGGAACTCATAAACATTAAAGTAATACTTTTTCAAATACCTGCACTGTTTAGATAGCAAAATTCCTCGAAAAAAGTCACTTTTTTAACCTAAATGACAGCTCTCTCGGCCGTCATGTAAATGCTGCGTCACGCAAAAGCTTAGAAATTCAAGCGTACTCTATTACAAAAACCAAGAAACCTTTTGAAGCGAAAATTTGTTTGAAAATTATTTTTCAGCTGCTCTAATACACCGTGAAAGTAAAATCTCAGTAGAATCGGTAGTTTTGTCGTTTGAATTTTAGTGACGTCATGTGAAAACCAACAATTAGTGATACCATAATAGCCTCAATCGCACACGGATAATAGTTTGTTAAGGGATGAACACATCAGATTATTATGTAGACCTCTTTTTGTACATGTCACAGTATCTATGAGGGATAGTACCCCACCTAGTCGGTAGTTACGTAACGTAAATGATCTAATCAGTTCATCGTATGTGTATGCCTTTCATCTCTACATGACACAGTATGGTCCAGTATCAGGGATAAAACCGTTTCCACTGTCATTATCAGTTACTTGTTTAGTTGAAACGTCAGTGGAAAGGTAGGTCTCTTAGGAAGTTTCCGAAACACTTACTTTAATATAGTCAGTTTTCTACAGTAAGAATCCAGTCTGTGGAATACAGGGGCGTAGCTACCTGTACGCACGGTACGCACGTGCGTACCTAAAAAAGTCGGGGGTAAAACGAGGTATTAAAGTGAATAAGATACAGAATAAGAATAAGATACAGAGGATAAAATAGATAAATCTTAATTATTTTAAAAGCCCAGTTCGCCTCAATTCATTTCACAACGGACTGTTTGATTTTTCTTTTTACACCCGAATGTCGGTTTCCAGGAAAGAGACGTGATTCATTGGTGGACCGAATCTTCTATGGTATATATTTAGAGAAACAGCGGGAAAAGCGCAAATTCCAAACGCTGTTGAAAGGAACTTTCGGTCTTTTAACTTGTCATATGCAGTTCAGTATTACAGCTAGAGTTTCCATGACACTAAAACGTCAATCAGTGCAATTTCTTTCAGACCACAAAACAGCCCGTACTTTTTGCGTAAACCAAGAAAGCGCAAATAGTCGAACGAATGCTCTGGAGGAAAACAAATGGTCGTTCCCTCTTGAATGGAGCAGGGGGCAGGGGAGAAGAGTGAGTGAGACTGGGGAGAGAAGCGAAAAATACTTTTAAAAAATACGATAGAAACTAACAAAGAAAAATAAAAGAAAGAAAACCAGAAAGAAAAAAACAAAATGACAGTTTCGCAGTCTAAAAGCAGTTGAAAAGTTAGTACTACCAAATCCTTTCCTGCTGAATCAATAACAAAGCGCCAAAAGTGCTCGACGCTCAAGTTGAATATATACCATAAAAGTTTGGAAATGAAGGAATTCACGTAGTTAACCTGTAACAGGCCTTGAGATAGTTGAGAAAACGGAAAGAAAAATGAGCCAAAAAAAATGGCGAAGGGGCGGGTTTAGGGAGAGAGCGCGAAAGAACCTCTTTTCCTCCTCCTTTCCTCTCTCCCTAGCTCTCCCTCTTACTCTCTTCCACGTTTGTTTTCCTCCGTTCTCTATTTCGCGCCACTGTCCACTATCCACTATCCACTGTGCACTGCGCCTGGAACACGCTAGTCCATAGTGGGCAAGAGAGTTTTTTCCAATGCCGATGCAAGGGATCTATAGATGTCCATTTAGGAGCATTTGACATTTTAGAAGCTCATACTCACGCTTCAACTATTCCTGCTCTAGCTTTAGTAAAACGCCACTTTTTTTCTTTTTTCCGTTTTTCTGTAGGGGAAAGGTTTTGGCAATTTGTTTTTGATGATGGTGTTTCATCGTCGATCGAAACGAGTTAAAATATTTTCTGAAACGTTCGATACAAAGTACCTTTATAAGTGTGATAGTAATACATCGAAACTAACATCTATACTTTTACATAATTACTAGAAAGAGAAAAGTCGCAAGAAAAAAGAAAGTGTTCTAATTAGGTCAATTAGTTGATATGAATATTGGTTGTCTCCGTCTTAAATTTAACGTATTTACGCATTTTATGCGTCGCACAAAAAAAGCCATTTTTTTGGCAATTCTGCACTATATATATTGTATCCAAACAAAATGATTCTTCTTCTTGAATAATAGGTGAAAAACATCCAGCTTCGAACACAGATATTTATAGCTGTCATTGTCGCCCTTGCTACTTGAAGTATTTTGAATAATTTAAGTTAATATCTGAAAAATGTTTTCCCACAGGTTCTTGTCGTTATGTATATTCAAGTAAATCGTTCCTGTTCTCGTTATATAACATCAATGGCTACGCTCCTGTTAAGGTGAACATCAAGTCAAGTCGTTACAGTAAAGCTATTTACACATGTTCCAGCTACGGACCATCCTTTGGTAACGGACACAACCTATACATATTCAACAACGCTGCAAGCAACCGCAATTCCTACACTAACTGTGACTGGTCCTACCCTCTCCCCCCTGGGTACTCTACATCTGGTTATTCCTGTCGATTTTATGCAGGTGGATCCAATATGTACTTCACTCCCACTGATGTTGAAGTGTTGTACGAGACAACAACTTAAACCCTGTAAAGGTGGATCACGTCTGCCAATCCAAGCAGTGTAAATACATATATGAACGCGGTTTCGTAGACTCCCAAAGGAAAGTGTTTTAAATGGAGTTTTTCGTTTCAATTAAGTGATAACGAATTTTTTTAATAAAAACTGTTAAAAATCCTTTTAAAATCAATTTGGAGATCGACCAGGAGCCAGTGAAGATTCACAAGAAGCTGTGTTCTGCGCATGTTGGAGCTTTAATCATGGGCTTTGAGGCAAACCATTATATAGCAACGAATTACAGTATTCAAGGTTGCTTGTAATTTTAGTCCACTGGGTTAAGTTTAAGCTGTCCAGATCAAGTTACTGGTGTATTAAGAGAAATTGTTTGACTGTTACTATATTATCAGTAAGGTACCTTGCTTGCCTTACTCATAACGTGTACACATGTACATAACTGGCCATTGTTTGCTTCATGCACAGCAGAATCCCTGAACGTCAGCTTTTCAGTATCCAGTTTTTTTTAATACATAACATGAAATGCTTTTAGATGCTACAATAGTTTCTACCTTTATCCGAAGTCGTAATCTACCTTTCTATTAGAAATTGACTTGGGAATGGTGCATGTACATGATAAATATGCAGGGATCCAAAAATAAAATGAAAATGAAATGAATCAAATAAGTAAGGATGACATAGCAAAATCGGGCCTTGACCAGGATGCCACAACCTAAGAACATCTAAAATAATTTGTAAATAATTCTAAATAATTTGTAATCGCATGTTTTCACCGATCAGTTGTTTATTTGGATCGCGAGCCTGGTGGAGGAAAGTTGATCGACTGTCCATGCGTAAAGACAAGTGCAGCTCCGATCCAGATAAAGATTTCATCATTGGTTTAAATGATTATTTCGGCGACATTTGCTTTGATAGGGAATATTCTAAACCAGTTCCTGCCGAGATTGATGTGAACACCCCTGCTCCACAACTATCTACATTTCAAGTGTTTCTTGCCTTATCGCGAATAAAGCGTACTGCCACCGGACCTGATGGGATTCCTTTCTGGATATGGAAAGATTATGCTGAGAAATTTACCCCAGTGATTGAGAATTTATGGAACTTATCTCTTGCTCGGCAGATCTGGCCAAGTCGTTGGAAGGAGGCTAACATCAATCCACTCCCAAAAGTCGAGACACCAGTCGAATATGCGGACTTTAGAGGAATCAATATTACTCCAGTTATTGCCAGAACGTTTGAAAGAACAGTGTATAACATTTTTAACAAGAGGTGCCTAGAGGAATATCTGAATAATTCTCAATTTGTGTACCGTTCAGGTGGAAGTTGTGTAAACGCTCTGTTGAAAATGCAACATACAATTCTTGCGGCATTGGATAAACGGGACACCTTAGCGGTGAAAATGTTTACGATGGATTTCTCTAAAGCCTTTGATAACGTTAAACACAATCTTCTAGTTGAAAAGCTGAAACATAGTCCACTTGATTCATTCATTGTTAACTGGTATGCCAACTTTCTCGAAGGTAGAAAACAAAGGGTGATTTTTAATAATTTGACATGCCAGTGGAAAATTATTAACAAGGGAACAACACAGGGAAGTGTCAGTGGCCCATATCTTTTCAACATATTTTTGAATGACCTAGAGATAGATGGGTACAAAGATATATCCTTGTTTAAATATGCAGACGATTCAACCGTCTTAGTCACGATTACTAAAGATTCCCCGGATATATCTGATATTGCCTTGTCCAAGTTTATGGATTGGACTGTTGCAAATGACATGCATTGTAACACTAGTAAATGTAAGGAGCTAATTATGCGTAAGAGAGGCAATTCAATAGTCTACCCAATGTCTCACAATATCAAACAATATAATAACATTTCTTTATTAGGCGTCACAATTCAAGGTAATTGTAAGTTTGGCTTGCATGTCTAGGCCAAGCTCCATGAAGCCAACAAGTGTTTATTTGTCACCAGAAGCCTACGTAAAGAAGGATATACACAAGATGAAATAGACCACCTCTTTAATTCAATTGTGATCCCTAAGTTATTATACGGTCTTTCAGTTTATGCTGCAAGTGTTTCCGAACTTACTGTTATACAAAGGTTTTTAAAAAGATGCTATAAGAGGCGTTATACGTCGGTCAATTACAACATATATGAACTTTTGGAGAAAAGCGACAGACGCCTTTTTTATAACCTCAAACGCGATGACCATCCACTAATAAGCTTGCTCCCAAGGAACAAAGACTGTATTGTAAACCTTCGAAGGAAATCCATTGTCAGGCCCAGCATTAACACTGAACGTTTCAAAGATAGCTTTTTTAATAGATTAATTTTTAAATATAATCTAGCTGTGTAAATACCCCATATGTATTTTTAATCAATTTAATATTTTTATTCATCTTATAGTCATTGTAATTTTTTCTATCGATATATATTTTTACTGTAACATCAGATATGTAATTTTATCGGATGCTTTTTAATAAAGACGTTATTATTATTGTTATTATTATTATTATTATTATTATTATTATTATTATTATTTTAAGATCTCGGATTTTCTCTGGAATTCAGACTTTTGCGCACAGCCCACAAACCTATGAAGGAAGGCGCTGTCTGCATAATTTTGTGGTTTAGTACCAAAGAGTACGAGAATTGGAAGCTCATTTTAAAAGTTAACTTCCAAAGCATTTTAAGCGGGTTATTAACATCAAAAAGGTGAAAATTAAGTTAATTTAATTCGCTTGGTTTTGGTTTCACGTATGCGCTTTACTTAATGGACAGAAACCTTTTTTTGAAGCAAATAGATGGTACACGTGGTACACCGTTACAACGCCAATTCCACAACTTTTAAAATATGCCTTCTTTATTACGAGTAATAATACTTGATTAGCTTTCACGGAGCGCGTATTAAGCCTGCACATGTGTGCAGACGTTTGAAGGGGATCAACGAAAGAGGGAAGAAAGTCCGGGACCTCGGGGCAGAGCCTCTCCGTATAAACATTTGTTGAGTACCCCCCTCCCCACCCCTCCCGGGAGCTAAGACGCCCTAGCGCGGGCGAGCCTGTCTCCTTTACCTTTAAACGCTTGTCACCCAGGTTAGGCAGGAAGAGGCCTTTTACATTAATTGATCACGTGATCAACTTTTGGTAAACACGAAAACAGTTCGCTTTTGAAAAATTTTGTTAGCACGAGCTGAAAGAGGGTATTAAAATTAGGTAACCTGTGAATTTTCAGCCGTATATCTCAAAAGTAGCGATTGCAACGGCCGCCGAAAATTAGAAAGATTTGTATGAGAAAAACAGCGCTTGCCACCCAGTCACGCGGTTTTCCATACAACTCCTTGTAAATTCCGAAACTTTTCAACTGTCGTTAAATCATTCCCTTTCGCATTTAAGGGCTCGAAAATGCCTGTTATGAATTAAAAGGAGATTTGAGCCCCGTAATGCTTAAGGAAATATTTCACGACAGTTTGAAAATTTCGAAATTTACAAGGATTTGTATGGAAAACCATGCAAGCGTGACTGGGTGGCAAAAGTTGTTTTTCGCACAAAAATGCATCTAACTTTTGGCGGCCGTTGCAATCGCTACTTTTGAGTTATACGGTTGGAAATTTACGGGTTACCAAATTTTAATATGCTCTTTCACCTCGTGCTAACAAAATTTTTCAAAAGCGAACTGTTTTCGTGTTTGCCAAAAGTTGATCACGTGATCAACTAATGCAAACGGCCTATTGGACAAATGATAATAAATAAAGAAAAGAAAAGAAAAGAAGCATATAACGATAAAAGCTTCAATAACATGATCAGAGAGTATGATCACATTGAAGTTCAAATTGAAGACAGCTGATGAAGAAGACGATGAAAATCATACATGTAATTACTCACTGTGTCTAACTCGTAGCAATCCAACGAAACTATTTGAAAAAGGATTGCAAATAAACTTTATTAAAGGCTGGAGATAACATTAAACGGAAACTGTGGTCAAAACAAGTTTGACTCTAGTCTCGTAACAATCGGCATCAGAAAATATTCAAGGGTGGGGCTTACAGGAATAGTTTAGACGGTCGAACTCCTCAGTCTCTTTTTTTTCTGGTACAACGATCTGTATCCCTTGATTTTTGGCTTAAATCTGCATGTTGACAAAAAGAGGACTTATGAGCGCCATTTTTGCTTCATCTTTGCCAGTCAATCAGTACTAAGCTGTATACTAACTTCCTTTAATGGTGATGGGTAATAATATCAACAAATCTTGTAAGTCCAGAAAATTTTGTGTGTAAATTTAGTGAGTTTAAGTGTTCATGGCGCAGAGTAGAACAAAACCAAAGATGAACATACAATAATCTTGTTTTGGGAACAGGCAGTTTATTCAAGTATTATTTTTTCTTACCTACAATAAACCACTGGAGATAACTAATCAGGGGTTCATATTGATACACTCAACTACGGTCCATATCAAAGATAAAAAAAGAACACTAAGTTACAAACAACTTAAACAAAAAGCGTACAACCAGAAACTGCGTATGGAGTGGGTGGGCGAGAAACGTCATATTCAAATGTAACTAGCCTGTGTACAGAAGTCCCCCTCCCCTCAGAAAAAGAGGGAGGGAATCGTCTGTACACAGGCTAAATGTAACTAGAAAAGCTTAATCTTGCTTGCTTGCTTGCTTTGATACTCAAGTGCGCTGAAATTATAAAGCCTTAGTCTAATAATCTAAAAAATTAAGCACTATAGTCGTACATGCTAGCGTGGTGTATTACAATTTGTTCTCTGTAGTCTTGTGACTCCCATACAATGTATGTTGCTCAATTCTGAAAAAGGCCCACTCCAGTCAATTTTAAAACTGCTTGTTCCTAGCCCAGACCTCTCCACCGTTATAAGTGTCTAGATTTATATGACTGAAATTAATATTCACTAAAACAAACAAAAATCGACCACTTAATGATCTTTTTTTCTCATGAGTGCATGATGGCTACTTCAGACTAAACTGCCCTATTGAGCTTTTACTGTCTGAAATTAAAACGAACATAGTGAAAAGATGGAGGGTCTGTTTGCAGCTTTAGACCGCTGCATCGATCAAGCAGTTAAGATCAGTTGCGCAGACAAATTATTAGTACTCCCTGTAGTCGCTTTGTCTGATTTTCAAAGCAGCGAGGCGGACTGACAGATGAGGGAGGAGGGAAATTGTTTGATCACAGAGGTAGATAGTGGCTTTTCCCATCCTTCTCCATCAAGTATTCTAAGTTAATTCCTGTGCTCTTGTACCCCGAGTAAACGCCTGCAGCACATGCAGGACAGGTTGTCTATCACAGTGAAGGCTTTAACCTGACAAATATAACAATAATCTTTCTCCTGGCAAACACCTCGCTATTACCAACACTACGCTGAAAAGAAAATCAACTGAATCCGCGGCAAATGTTTCACTCGTTTTTGACTGTATAAAGCTCTCGCACTCTGGTCATTGCAAAAATGTATTTTTTTAACTGTTTAAACTTTATTTATATAACCCATTGACGTCCGGCACTTTTTACGTTTTCGGACAAGTAATTTTCTTCATACAAACAAGCCATAGGACTTTCGTGACTCCATATTTAGACTTTATGATACCATGGCAAATAGTTCTGTTCTAACACACTGAAGGCTCGAGTTAAAACATAAGTCAAAGCACTGTGATGCAATATGGAAAGCTTTCTGGTTATCCGATACGAAGTGAACCAAAGTCTGGTTACGGCCGGATTCGCCTTGTCATCGGACAACTGACGCTGCAAGCAAAAGCGATTAAAGCACGAGGCGTTGTACCAGGCAGCTCCTAACCCCTCATCCCTGGGTACTCTGCATCTCTTCTTTCCTATAGCATGTTTGGGTTTTTTATATAGGAATATCCGAATCGACATCACTCACACTGACGACGAAGGGTTTTAGAAGACAACGAAATAATTTCTGTGGATAACGTTTGCATGTTCAAGCGCTTTTAACGGACAAACCCCTCTCACGTTTTTGTTGTTGACTTTTCCAGGATTTTGCCTTTTTGCATCCCGTCCCATTTATAGCTACCCCTAAGTGTCAGATCCTGGTCAAAAGAAAGACTTCCTCACCAGTGAAAAGCCAGGGAAAGTGGCTTGCTGAAGATATTTTTTTAAATGTACAAGTGAACTGGAAAAATACCTATCAGCTACCTTTTCTATGCACTACGGAAACGAAGTTAAGACGACTTCCTTCTTAAGATAGGCAAAAAGGAAACAGACTCCTGTTCTACATACGCTGGTTCCCCAGAGACACTTACACATTTTTTTGGCATTGTATATAAACTCAGAGTTTTTCAAATAATGTTTCGCAGTGGAACTGCGAAAATCTTGATTTGACCAACTTGAACATTGCCCCCTTTTCGCTCGCTCTTTGCCTAGGCTTAATTGAAAACATATCTAATCTTCTCCTACACCGCTTCCTCCCTATTGCTAGACACTATATATATAGTTGCAAACTACGAAATACCTTTCCTTTGGTACAAGTGTACACTCAGTTAGTCATACGCTCCATGGAAATCGAGAAACAGATTGTTTTTGATAATAATAACTTAGCCTCCTTTAGGAAGAAATAGGCTACTTTCAAACAATGTCCCTCAGAAATAATTTGATCTATACCGTTAATTAAAGTGCAAGTTACAAACGGGCAGATGGGGGATGGAGGACCTTAAGGCAGACAGCCTTCTCTTAATTGTTAATATATAAACTATAGTATTTTTAAGGACTTTGTCTTTCTTTTTATTTTTATTTCACTTCTGTAAACGATAACAAAAACCTGTTTCAATGTAAGGTAAAATTTAGTAACCGCGATAATCTGAAGTTATTGTAATGAATTGTAAATGTAATAATGTATCGCAATTGTTTGTGTGTCCGAAATAATAAAAAAAATATAAATAATAATAATAATAATAAAAGGCCCCAAAAAGGAGTTGTCCTGTACCTAAAATTTTTACTCCACTTTCAGAGTTAAATTAACTCCAAAAAGAGTAAAAACAACCCATGTAAGGAGTAAAAGTAACCCCACTGTTTCGGAGTTATTTTAACTCCAGACTGGGAGCAAAAAGAACTCTTTTTCAGGAGTAATTGAAATGACCCCAAATTCGGAGTTAAATTAGGAGTTAAAATAACCCCGAAAAAGGGGTTATCCTGTACCTAAAATTTTTACTCCATTTTTGGAGTTACAATAACTCCCCAAAAATTACGGTGTATACAGCTGATCAAAAACTTATAATAATAATTATTCAAATCAAGAAAGGATTTAGTTGTAGGAACTTTTGTGCATTAAGTGAGCCGTTTGTCAGATCAGTTGGTTTTTTTCTTCGATTTCCTCTTTGCAAAGTTTGTTTTTTTGTATGGGGGACCGGCACGATGCCTTTGCCCCATCTGAGGGAATCAAGGCACTGTTGTATTTTAAATTTCACGACTTGGATTCCGGATTCCATGTACTGTACATCTTTTTTGTTGGTGGAACTTGCTTTCTGGATTCCAATCATTAGTGGGATTCTGCAGGCACAAGAAAGGTTTTCCCTGAATCCGAATTCTGCAGACAGAAATCCGGATTCCTTTACATGGGGGTGGGGGGAGGCGATACATTTTACAGCAACAACATTTAAGAGAAACCTTATTTTGGGAGAAGATCAACATGAGTGTACTCGACGAGGATCAACCTTGACTTTCTTGACTGTGGTAGGACTGCTGTATGCTTCCGTTATGAGACACGCTCATGAGCCTAATTGTCTTCTGACATACTATGCTATACTGAGGCCTTTTCAATCTCGTTCTTTTCCTGGTACTATCACAGGAGGGATATTAGACTACGAGTAGTCCCCATTTTTCCTCAGGGATAGTAGAGCGAGCGAAACGCGAGTACCCGTGAAAATCACCCCACGGGAGAAAGGCGAGACGCGTCGGGGAGAGAGCAAAATGATGGACAACAGACAAAGTCCCCGCCGCGTCTCGTCTTTCTCGCGTGGGCAATTTTCACGCGTTCTTGCGTTTCGCTCGCTCTACTATCCCTGAGGAAAAATGGGGACTACTCGTAGTCTAGAGGGCTATGCAAATGACAAACTTACTTTTTATGGTGGGGGCGGGGGGGACGGAAGAGGTTGAAAGAGGGGGTATTTTGGTCTTATCTCTCACGGAGTGGTGGATCCAAAAGCCTCTGATGTAAGACTTCCTGAATATGAGTGAACTTTGACTCTGCAGATAGCAAAACAGACATAATGAGAGGAGTACAAAGTTGGCAAGGTACTCATAATTCTGACCCTGATATCGAATGAACCAGACAATCAATGAACCATTCATTGTCTCATGCGGACTAATCAATCAAATAGTAATTAAGCCATGACTTCTCAGAAGCAGAGTTTGCCTTCCTTTGCCTCGATTCTTTCTGTCTTGTCGATTGTGGTTTACTGCGCCGGTTTTCTGAGAGTAGAATTGGAGCTGAACGAACAGAAGAAGAGAATAAACGATCTTGAAAACAAGCGAGAGAATATGCCCCCCGATGTTCCAAACCGTGACAAGTTAACTAAGAATACTCATGGTAAGTCTTCTCTATTCTGGTTCAATATTTTATAACAAGAGCATCATACAGAATGTTTATTTATATATTTTTTAACAAAAAATCTTGCGAGTACAGAAAATTTTGCATATCCGGAAGATATCTTGTCTTTGCGTGTTCGTTGCGCAGAGGTAAAGAAAACCGAAGGTGAACAGGTCACCATTTGTTTCCTTTGTAGGGAAGAAATATTAAAAAAAACAACAATCGATCACCAGTAATGATCTTTGTTTCTGAAAAGTAGCTGAACAGTCTTATTGTTTCAAATGACAGCTGAAATTAAAAATGACGAACATTTTTGTGTAATTGAGGTGGTGTGTTTACAGTATCGATCAAGCAGATAGCATAAAAAAAACTTTTGGACGGGTAATTATCATTTCAGGCTTCTCACTCAATCTCAGCTCAATCAGCAAGTTTTCTTATAAGAAATGTTAACGTTATCTAATCTGATGTCCTTAATGCTTATATTCCTTATTTATTTAGTCTGTATGCCATTAAAACGTTCCTTGCTGTTTATGTAAATCATTTAGGTAAGTGCCACCCCAAAGGGTATAGTAGCGTTTTAGGGCCTTTTTGGTCTGAAAACTGGTATACTCTTTGCCCATTTTGGTCTGGAATCAAGTATAGTTTTCAAGGGAACTACGGGAGCGTATGAACGTGGTTATCGTTTCAATTCCAAAAGGATAAGAATCAAATAGGAATATGCGAGTTCGAAACGCGCTCTAATCTAAGTAATGGTGACCTAATTTCTGCCTAAAGGCCAAGTCTGAAAACGGGTGTGGAAAATAACATGACATTTTTCAGATCTGAAAGAAGATTCGGACTGGAGAACCGGGCGACACACCCCCACCAAGAATTCCCAGCAGGAGTACCGCCCCCCTTCCGGAGTAGACTACGTTTTATTTTCTCGGAGAAGAAAAGCGCTCATTCCTTTTTTGACGAACAAACATTGTTATTTTTGGGATAATTATAGGTGCAAGAACCTTAACTTTTTCTTTCTCCCAGATTGACCTGAGTGTCAATCATGAGTCAGAATAATCCACATGTGTTTTATTTTCGGAAGAGCAATTTTTGTATTTCCTGTGTGTAGACACTTAGGTATTTTTTTAGGTATTTTTATTTATTTGCCACACAATTACATTACTTAAAAATGCCAAAAAAAAAAAAAAAAAAAAAATGTAGGAAGAGATGGCGAGGAGGCCTAAAAGAAACTATAGAGCTTATGTTAATTAGGCCTCCTCAATTACAATTTTTCGAAGATGGCATAAAAATTACGGCGACGGGTACAGTATAATATCAGGTGAAAAATTAAACTAATCAATATTACGGAAGTTTACATGTACAAATGTTGAATATTAAAAGGCTTTTTCCCAAGATTTTTGTTGAAGTATACTAATAATTATTACAAATAAATGCCTTAAGTGCTCTTTTTTAAAGGAGAAAGGTGAGGAAGCGTTGATGATGTTGGTGTTTAAGGTGTTGTAAAATTTAGGTCCTTGATAAAAAACGGAAAATTGCTTGGTTCGAGTACGACAGAAAGGCAGACGAAATTTACACGAGTTTCTTGTATTATACGAATGAATTTGACTTTGTAAGGTAAATTTACAATGAAATTTTAAAGGTAGAGTATGGTTTTGATAGGAGTACATGAATAAGCCTAGTTGTATTAAGTATATATCACTTTCCCTGATTTGGAAAGCAGAGGCGACTAGGCGTGATCAATGAGGCGGAGGTGAGGCTTTCCTAATCTCCTTTTACCTTCTCCGCCAGCTGACCAAATATTTTATTAATAAGTTATTTCTAGTCAGCTCTGTTACCCCGACTGAACGCCTGTCATCTCTCTCCTTACAAACACCTCGCTTAAATATCACGCCAAAAGTAGATCAGCTGAAACGCCGGCGAATGTTGCATTCATTTTTACTGTATAAAGTTCTCGGCCTTTCGATATTGCAAACATATAAATTTTTTAACTTTACTAACGACTCTACAAACAATACATTTTATGACAAATAACCGTATACAATGCTTAAATTTACTCACCATATATTGACATCCATGTCCAATACTGACGACAAGATACGAGTGGGAAAATACTTTTCTCAACTTGCCTACGAGCGGACAAGTTGTCGAGTGGAAAATGCATCTCATCAGTTGACTGGGGACGGTGTCTAAGTTGTCGAGTCGTACGAGTGGACAAATTGTCGAGTGGAAAATGCATCTCATTTGTGCACTAAAGCAAAGATCCGACAGGAGCCACGCGAAGGAACAAGCGCGCTACACACACTGTGTATGCCTCGTTCTTTAAGCAAAAATCCGACATAAGCCACTCGAAGGAACAAGCACGCTACGTACTGTGTATGCCTCGTCCTTTAAGCAAAGATCCGACATAAGCCACTCGAAGGTCATATAGATCTGCATTGAAGGGTTTTTACTAAGATTAACTAAGTAAAAGGTCCTCTGTTCTGATCTTTAGTACTAACTTATTATAAACGTTAATTGTAGAAACTGAATATGTCAAGCCCTACAGGAATAGGCGAGCAGCCGATTCACTGAAAAACACCACGGGAGCTAAAATTACAGTTGACAGGGAAACAATTCTGAAGATAAACAGAGTTTTATCCGAGCTAAAACCTCAACTGTGTCATTCAAATGGCGATAGCTGTCTCCCAGGCCCTCCCGGTTCACAGGGACCAAGGGGAGACAAAGGATCCCGGGGAAGAAGGGGACACAAAGGAGACCAAGGCATTATGGGATCTCCTGGAAAAAGTGGCAAGCAAGGCATCATGGGACCAGCAGGTCCGAAGGGTGATGTTGGACTCAAGGGAAAAAAAGGAGACCTGCAGGCATGCCGGGAGGTAAAGGAGAACCTGGTGAATCGATTTCAGCTCCTTTTGTTGCTGTGTCGCCTAAAACGCTGACAGTTAACGAAGGTGGCTCAGCGTCGTTTCATTGTTCAGTGAGTGGTAATCCTGATCCTGCCATAGTGTGGAGTAAAACGATCAGACAGTACAGTCAGACAGTGGTTTCAGGAGGAAAAATGCTTCTGAAGAATGTGCAAGAAAGTGATTCGGGTACATACAACTGTTCAGCAGTGAACATTTTAGGACAAGCCCAGGCACTGGTGCAGCTGATGGTAAATGGTAAGATCGCTATGAGATAGTTAAATGCAGGAACATTTTTGCCTGGATGCTGCTACCTGTCTGGCTCGGTTGAATTCTTTCGCAAAAAAGTAAAATAAATAAAACTGGATATCGTTTTCTACCTACGCTACTGATGCATTTCAAAGCTTAGTTAATCAGCTCTAAGGCAGTTTTCCACATTAAATTGTAAACAATCAAACAGACCAACAAACAAGATGTTTTTAAAAAAAATAAAAGTTCTATACTGAAAGTTGAAGTTACAAAGAATGATTGTTCAGGAAACGAATTCAGTACTTCGGCTAAAACTCTGAAGTCTAGGTCTTAATTCCTTTCTTTGTTGTAGTTCACCCCCAAGTTTCTCTTCATCCGGGACCTCATTATGCTATTGAAAGAAGTAGTTATACTCTTCCATCCTGTCACGTGACTGGGTATCCTGCGCCAGTGGTCTCATGGAGAAAGTCATCCGGTCCATTACCCCAGGGAAGGGTGAAGTACAACAATAGTGCATTACAAATACTACATGTTCGTAAAGCTGACTCTGACCTCTACTACTGTGCGGCATCAAACCTGTTAGGACGGGTTGAGAAGAAAACTCTCTTAGTTGTTGTTTCTCCTCCTCGGTTCACTGTTAAACCACCTGCTAAAGTTGTCGCGTGGGTTGGTGGTATATTGATTTTAAACTGTAGCGCTACTGGTGATCCTCAACCAGTCCTCACCTGGAAAAAGCAAGGAGGTCAACTGCCAGTCGGGAGGAACCGACAGATTAATGGCAATTTGATGATCAGAAGCGTCACAGTACCATTTCAACTTTATTTTAATACAGTCTATGTATAAGGCAATACTTGAAATAACACAAAAAACACATATAGTAGAACTCATTTATGCCATTTGCTTTATCATAAGACACAAGTAAGACATTCTGAATGTTGCCCATTTCAGTTTGTTAAGCGGTAATCTCTCACAGCTGGTCACACTGTTGTCTAGCGGCAGAAACTGACTCCCTGAAAGGTCCTATCAATTAATTTTCGTACAGCTGAGAGATGGCAGTTGTCTCATTATATTGGATTGTGATATCATAGTTTCATGCCAAAACATTCATTCAATAGTCGTAATAGGCCACTTGTTGATCTGCCCTTGTATTTTTTTTTTTGACTTGCTGGATCTACACCCTTTTCACACTGGTTGCAAGACCGACAGTTCTTCCTAGCATAACTTCCTAACACCATCTTCCTTAAGTGACCATTTCAGTAAAACTTGAAAACAGTAGAAACATGCAGTAAAAGTAAGCAAAGTTATTGATAAAAGCCCTATCATCATTTTTCATGTGAAAAGTTGTTTTCATTGGCGTCACATTTTTACAGTACCCTGTTACTGTAAACAGCAACCTAAAGCACTGATATTTTGCTTCCAGGAAAGATGACCATGAAGAAGTTCTGGTAAGTCCCTCACCTCTTCATATTTTAATCAACACCTATGATTGGTGAACATTTAAACAAGTTATCATGAAAAAATGATTAGAACATGTATGACAACAAGCCATTAACTTTCCACAGAGTGCAATCACAAGATGAACAAAATTAATGAAATGCATCTTGCATTCATTACAAATTTTACAATAAAACATACAGGGTACATGTATTGCTTTGACTTGGAATTAATTCTGTGAATGCTTTTGTCAGGTTGTGACAAGTCCTGAGAATTCTCCAGCAAAGGAAACAGGCAAAAGAAAAAAGAAAAATAGTGTAGCTACAAGGAAACTCTTTCAAAAAGATGAAGATGTGGAAGAAAGTAACAGGTTTGTTTGATGTGTTCCTGAGATAAAAACCCCTTGAGATGAAATTATTTGCTACGGAAGAAAACCTTTGTAAAGAATAACATCAGAGTTGCCTTCCATTTTTGTTTACTCGAGGGTTCCTTTCAGTGTTTCCGTCATAACAAGGCAAGATAGGGTTTTTGTAAAGAATTTTTATCTTTTATCTCCTTTCATTCGTGTCTCTAGGATGCAATACCAACTACCTTGCACTAAAGAAAACTTTGAAGACCATCATCTTAAATGAGTGTAAAAGTGGTAGTTTTTAATCTGTTGGGGATGCTACACGAAAAAGTAGATTTTTCATATTCGTTGGACATGACTACTCTGACAATATGAATGTTTTACCGTAAATCATGTCCACTGTCAATTCGGTCGCAGAGTGAATGACTTGGGGATCTATTTTGTATGGGTTTCCTGTGAATAGAACAAGAGGACGCTTGACTGCCACAAAATGTATTTTTTGACTCCACATCAATTTTTGAGTTGTGTAGTTGAAATGGATCCTTTGTGTCAGTACTGAATTAAAACATGGGGACAGTTGTTTGGCTCCAGCCTGAGCAGATGCGAAGGAGACTACCGAGAAACTGGGTATGAAGTTGGTACCTTGGGCTGCCTGTGTAAAATTATAATTTAGTGGCTCAAACTAAAAAAATAAAAGGACAACAGGCGTGCACAGTTGGCCCGTGAAATGACAAAACTCAAAGCAGGAAACACTTATTATTTTTGCACATTAAATATGTTTTATCTTTTAAGTAAGGGAATAGCAAAGTACAATGTAACCACTTCACAAGCTTGATAGAAATTGTTTTTCTCTGTTAGACTTTTGGAAGATGAAAAAGAAATTGCAAACAATGCTACTGTCTTAAAGCTGCTTCTAACAAAGACGAGCCTTGCAGTTCCATCTTTGCCTCCCGGCCTCACATGTAACAAAGCTGTCATTGTAGACCTTGAAACTGCTCCAAATGACTGGCAAGATGATCATACATGGCAAAAAACAAGAGCTCCCATGAAGAAAAGCTATGAAGTCAAACGCAATGCCAATGGAGAGATAATTGATATCAGCCGTTCATCTCATGAAGCAAGTGGTACTTATACGATGGAGCGCCACAGGTACACCCATGCTAACTCTCCAGACTTTCATCGGCTTGTGGTCACAGTGCAGGAAAGTGATGGTAATTACATCCCTTTTGCCTTTGTGCAGTATCGATTTGATGGAAATGAACACTTTGTTAGGAACAAACCTCATGGAAATGCAAAATCTAAGGATCCCTTCATTCCCACTAAAAAAAGCACTCTTGAGAAACTTACTGCTGCAGTTAAATCTCAAGGTGTAAAGAGGGCAGTTCATGAGGTTGAGGTGGCTGTTGGGAGTATGTATGCAGACTCAGCCTCATCATTGCCTCGAAATGAGAGGCAAGCTAGGTATCTAAAATCAAAAGACAAAGAAACCTCCAAAAGTGACCCGGTTTCTGCCTTGTTAGACATGCAGTTGGAAGAAGAGAAACCATTTATTCGATCAGTCACAGTCGACAGAAATTCTCCCATCATTGTACTGTTCTCAGATGAACAAATCAAGGACTTAAAAAAGTTCTGTTGTAATGAGGACGGACCAAATTCACCATTGTGCATTGACATGACTTTCAACCTTGGAAACTTTTATGTCGTCGTGACTACATACAAGCATTTACAACTGCTTACCAAACGAAGTAACAATGAACCTGTTATTTTAGGGCCTGTAATGATGTGCATGAAAAAAGACAGGCCAACGTACCAATTTCTTTTCCAACAAATAAATTCTCATTGTCCTGAAATTAAAGATCAGTTTAAGGCATATGGTACAGATGTAGAGCTCCCTCTTAGAAAGGCTCTTGAACTAGAATTTCCGTTTGCTTTGGGCTTTGTCTGCAGGACGCACATAGTAAGAAATCTTGAGCACAAGTTGAAGACTGAACTGAATTTGTCAGACAAGTTCTTTAGAAAAGTAGTTGCAGATGTTTTTGGAGACAAAACTCAGGAGGGACTTGTACAATGTACTACACGCGCAGAGTATGACTTTCTCCTTTCAAAGTTATGTGTTAAATGGGACAGAGATGAAAGTGAGGAACGTGCCAAAAAAGGGGACACACAAGAACCGAAAGCTGCCAAATATTTCATGAAAAATAAGGCCGACATTGTGTATCATCACTGTAGATCTGCAGCACTCCGTGAGGTAGGCATTGATGTTGAATTATTTGATAACAATGACCCAGAGAGTATCAATGCATTAATCAAGAAATGGGAGAATGAAGAAAAGAGTGATATTCCAAAGTTTGTACGTGATATAAAGGAATTGCATGACAAGCAAAGGCATGACATTTCAAGAGCATTTTGTGGTACACCTGGTTTGTATGCTGTCAAAGAGGATTATGCTGAGTTTGCTGTGGGGGCAGAGTTCTGGAAACTTGGCCAGTGTGAAAAAGTGAAGTTCCTGAATAAGGTTTCTGATCTTCCTCTCCATCCAAACCAAAGAAAACAAGACCCACTCGAGCCCATTGGACATCTGCCATTTCTGCCTAGTGAAGTTTCAGCTCTTAAAGCAAAAGTGGCAAGGATTCTGGATGGAAATATACGTGTAGGTTTCTCTGGTCCAAAATCACGCATTGTTTGCAGTGACTCAGGTGAACAACCCCATTTAGTTTCTGCAGTTAGCAATCACAAGTACAAATGTGATGCCTCTTGCCTTCAGTTCAGAACAAGGAAAGTTTGCTCACATACACTTGCAGCTGCATCAGACAACAAAGATTTACAGGAGTTTGTTAATGTTTATCGTAGTGAAGACATCACTCCGAATATCACACCAGTTGCCACTGCTGGAGGAAACAAGTTTGCAGGTCGTAAACCTGGGGATGTTCCAAGGGTGAGAAGAAGGAGCAGTGAACCCTTAAGTGCAGTTGCTGGACGGTCCACTCTTGGGGAGGTACTTTCAGATATACCCCCAGACTTTTCCCAGCTCCATTATCAGAGTAAGCACCAAGGTGGATTGAAGATGGTATTTACAAGGGTATCTGCACAGAGGCCTCCTAAGCCTGTATCAACTAGCAGAAGTGATGAGCCTTTTCAGCTTATTGACATTCAAGGTAACATTCGCAAGTGTTTTGGATGTGGACTGCCTCTCAGGGATGGGCCACCAAAGTACGGTGCAGATTATTTGGACTCACAGTACTGTTTGCGGCACAAAGAGGAAGACCACTTTTACTGCGAGAAATATTCCAAGTGGATTCCTAAAATTGAAAACAAACATTTTCATATTTCAAAAGAGTGTGTTTTAAGAAAACATCAGCAGTTTAATTCCTCCACTGTTGAGGTCGCCTTAAAACACACTTTGACAGTCAGGGACAAGGCGTTCCTGACAGCCAGACTTTAAAGTAAGGGCTGTGACCCTGTCTGCTTGTGCAGATGAGAAAAACCATTGACGAAATCCAGGCTTTGGGGGTAATGATTCCGATATCTGAAATCCTTGTATTAAGATGTCAAAAATTTTATATTATTAACAGGATGCCATCACTGAAAAACTAATCACACATAAAGAAATAATTAACTTGCATTAATGTTAATCCCTATTTTTACCCCCTCTGCCCTTGCACTTTTGAGAGAAAATGAGAAGCTGGTCAGTGCTATCACTAAGGGAAGGGGCCATAGATTCTCCCTAGCTACTACAAGCACCCCCCTCTCCGTTTAGCAAAAATAATACCACCCCCATCCCCTTCCACTTTATGCCAGGCTTGTACAAGCGTATAGTATTCTATTTACACCAATCTTGCCCACGCTCCGATGCTAAGTGATGGAGAAATCTGGCGGCCTCTTCCGGATAAAGAATACAGGCCCGACATACTATGGGCTGGGATGAGGTGGGAAGAGAGAAAAATAAACCATCCAAAGGAGGTGCCATTAAGTGTGTAGAGCGGGCAAGGCGAGGTGCATGGCCATAACAACAACCTGTGTATGTGTCTTATACTAGTCGATTGGGCAAGACCACTGTTACCTGTAAATAGCAGCTACATCACTACAAGTATAACGAGGGACGTTTTTGCATGGATCAGACCCTTTAATTTTATTTCTTTTATATTTATATATATTTTTTCAGTGCGGTGGTAATGACACTTTTACACACTTTGACAATAGTAGCCATCCTCAGATTAAGTTGCCATGAGGATAACACACATCATCAGACGCAAAAACAAGCAAAACAACAGTTACGAGTTCCTCCCTCTACCCATACCTCAAAAACAGTGTTCGTTTCGTTTTGTTATTGTTTTTCTTCTTGTCATGTTTTTCATTCTCTGCTTAAAACAGCATTTCTACCAGTAGCAAGCAGTTTTAATCTCTAAAACAGTGACTACCATGAGGAGTTTGGTTAAGTATATAAGTTTAGACGTTAACAAGTTCACAATTTAGTTGTGTGTTCTTTCTACCTTTCGAAATCTACGTGAACTATAATGTTGATATTAAAAGCAAAATTTACTTTAATCCAAGTCTTACAGTCTTACCAAACCATCAAATTCAGAAAATCGTGAAAACCTGCATAACTGTGTGAAGACCGATCACAACAAAGAACAGGAAATGCAAGCAAACCACAAACTAGTTACCTTTGCTGAGTTTATGTAACACTTCACGTTTCAACACAAAAACATTCCAGAAATGATTCAGCTGTTAACGATTTTCTGGGTTTCAAAGTAAACTATTATAATGTATGTAGTTATAAATTATTGAAATTTGATCGTTAAATAAAAGTGATATTGTTCCTGTTCTACAACCATGAACTCTTTTCGACTGTTGTCATCCTATTCATACTAACACTGAATGTAAGAAAAGTCGTCCAGAGATATATTGATGTCTTCAACATCCTTCAGACACCTAGCCATTTTAGCCCGATGGCAGAAACAAAACGGAGCGCTGGACCAGATAGACAATGTTATATCGACCCAGAGGTGGTTTTCGTGTTCAGCGGGTTTAGTGAAAACAAGGGTACGAAGGGAATTCTCAGTCTCGCGGGCTCACACGATACCTTGATTTCTTACCTCGATAATCTGCACTTCGGCATCCTCTGCAAATAAATTGAAGACATTCAGTAGTAAATTAGGCCATCTAGAACGTACAGAAGGCCTTCTTGAAAGCCATGACAAAGCAAAATAATAGGATGCAAATGGTTGCATGGAACTTACCATCCCACGCGCACGCCGACGCCATTTTTAGAATCTGCAACACTCGGGCTATGTGACCCCGTTGGTATCGGGCAGCGGTAAAACCAAGATGGCGGAAGAAAGTGGCGGGATTTTGTTGTTCACGTAGCCGTAGTAGGTGCGAGCAGTCGTCTTGTTTAGCAGCACGCAAAGTTTTGCGGATACTGGCGATATATTCGTTTGTCAGCCTTCATAGTACAAGCATATAAATTTTATTTGTATCTTGGAAGCACTTTATCCGGTCACCTTTCGAGCTTCATGGTAAAATGTGCAAGACGGAGTGATGGTAGGAGACTTTATTATTTGTTTGCTTGCGTTTTTTAATATATTTATTTATTTATTATGTATTTTTTTTATTTAAAAAAAAAAGAGTGGTCCAGAAGGGGGTCCAAAAAGGGGTCCAAAAAGGGGTCCAAAAGGGGGGTCCAGAAGGGAGGGTCCACGTTTTGTCTACACCCCAAAAGAAACACGTTGCTTAATGATATAAGATGCACCACAGCGCAAATCGAAATTATAAGATGTGCTTATTTTAATTTCCTAATCGACCAGCCATAAAAAGCCATAAAAAAGAAAACTTTCTCGTGCTTGAGCAAATTAATGAAATTAAGCCTGGGTGAGCTGTCAACATTTTCGGGTAACATTGCACTGTCACACTCAAGGTCGTTTTTGAGAAACGCCTGTCAACAGGATGTGAGGCATTTTTATGCCTTGAGTCTACCTTATTTGTACTGCTAAGTGTCTTTACTCTTAAAGAGACCATTTGCCTGAAACTTTAGGCATAACCACGACCCAAGAATGCAAAAAGTCCTCTTGAATGAACACTTATTAATTAGAAAAAATTAAGGTCAGTGTAATGTACATGTATCATTGAATGAAGCGTCTCTAAACTAATTTGGTTAGTAAAACCGCTATCGTTGCAGAGTAGCTTAAAGACAAAGTTATATCAACAAAGCACTACGAAGTTCATTATTAGTTTGTTGTTAAAATAACTAATAATGAAGAATACTAACACGCACGCAAAGCAGTCAAAACAATCCCTGAAGCAGATTTGATATTAAATTACAGAGTAAATGCAGAACTGTTTCCGGTAATCCGCGATTCAGTATGTACGAATGTTTTAATTTTTTGTGTGTTTGAAACTGATTCAGTGTGCATGCTTAGTTTTAACAGTGAAGAGGTACGTAAAAAACTTTCAGCTTTCTACTTTTTTTATTTTATTTTATTTTATTTTTTATTTGGAAAATAAATTCTTTAGATGGCATCGCCGGATCCACCATCCTTAGCAATCTTGACAGCAAGTACCTTGTACAGCTGAATTCATATCTAGACCCAGTCCGCCAGACTACAGGCCGCAGCAGCTTTGTGAGGTGTTGGCACGCTAAGACAGATAGTTGGGCGGCATCAACATTCCACAGCAACTGTGATGGAAAGGGTCCCACTGTAACCATCGTCCAAGTCGGTAGTTACATATTTGGTGGATATACTGACAAGTCTTGGGGTGGTATGTATCAGTTTATAACAGCCTTAATGACACACAGATCATACATGTTCAGCGTTTCCGTGTGGACGGGTGAAAACGATTCTAATACGCTTCGCGTAGGCGCATATTTTTTGTGAATAAAATCCTGATACGTGTGTACTGGGCCTTAAACCAGAGTTTTTGTTGCCCGAAAACGCCGTTTATGTGTAAATGGAAGCCAAAAAATAATGTTCGGATACATGTGAATATTAGGCCTCTCTTTAAGTCACTGACACCGTTGGCATAAAGAGACACTTTTAAATTTTTTTTTCTGTCGGGATTATTCTATTTGTCTTTTAAAAAGATTCTTTTTAACGGATTGGAGGTACTGAAATGCGTTCACACCGAACAATCGGTAAATTGGTAGATTGTTATTAAATGGAGTTACATTAAATGAAAGAACAAGCTAGTTGAGTAAATAAATACCAAAGCGAAAATGCCTGAAATTTCATTTTCTCTACAACAGTTTACTAGCAGCTCTATAATGTGTAGGAAAGTACTTTTTTTAAAACAACTTAACTGATTTTTGTTGAGGACTAGTGTGTTGCCTGGCTTTGTTAAACGTTAAAGCATTTTCTATCAGAAAGGTTTTAAGGTGAAAAATTTCCAACTTCGAACACAGATATTTATAGCTGTCATTGTCGCCCTTGCTACTTGAAGTGTTTTGAATAATCTAAATTAATATCTGAAAAATGTCTTCCCACAGGTTCTTGTCGTTCTGTCTATTCAAGTAAATCGTTCCTGTTCTCGTTATATACACCGAATGCAAATATGGCAGACCTCGCGGCCGGCCCGGGTCTAGTTGCGCGAAAGCGAGGCTAGTTAGGCCTCGAGAGTTTTGTTTTGACTGCGCGTCTTAGCGATTGAGTCGATCGATATGGTTTGCATCGAGTTGTTGCATGCCTGAGGGCCGCCGAAAAGAAGATTTTATTCTAGCTGGAATAGCCTTTACTTTCCCGAGATCTTTTCACAAAGAAACTTAAGGATTCATGCGATTCGGCGCGGCGATGAGAAGCACTTTACAGCGAAACTGTGCTCGCTCACTTGCTTTAGATAAGAAGACTCACGAAAGTATTTGAATTAATTAATTTTCACAAGAGATGGTGCTGTTCCAAGATGTTTGCATGGTCTGTTATTTATCCAACAAAAGGTAAACATTCTCGAGAATGGGAACATCCGCAGTGGACCGTAAGATCTTTTAGATTTCCCGCTGAAAACAGCTGCATTAAAATATAACAACAAAAATAACAATCGCCTGTTAATCCTACAAGCGTGGCCTGCGAAACTATGTAAGAACCAGAAGAAAGCGACATATTTCAGGAACAGTCCTTGACCAAAATGCACTGAAAAAACTAACGGAGGAACCGTTGCCAACTAAGAAAGTAAGAAGAAGAAAAAACGTTCTGGAAGAAAAAGAGATCAAAAGAGCGTGCAAGTATTCGAGCATGATAGTATTTGACCTTGCGCGTGATCTATTTTATAGCAACTTGTCGAATGGTTTCGAGATAAACTAACAGCGATTTTCCAAAATTGCTTCTTTTATGGTACTGCTCAAACTTTTGAACACAGGATCGTGAAGACTGTCAAAAAACATTCGCCCTTGTTAGTTGTCGTTGTGTCCCTGAGAGCGCCTAAAGATTAGTAAGTCGCGACGGCGGATTCACTCGTCCTCAAGGATATTTACCTTTCCGTGGTAAGAGAACGGACAAAGCAAACTTGAAACAGAACCATGAATCTTTAAGTTATTCACCCATTCTAATAGTTTCGTGAGTCTTCTTTTCTGAAGTGAAGCGAGCACACTTTCGTTCCTTTAAAAAATAACTCCGTGATAGTAGAGTGCTTTCATTCGTCGCGCCGAATCGCTTGAATCCATTTCTTTCTTCGTAAAGAACCGTGGCAAAGCGAAGATAATCAACTTTCGTGTCTGCTGGAGTTAAATCTCCTCTTTGATGGCTCTTAAGCACGTAACAACTCGAAGGAAACCATATTCATCGACTGAATCGCTAAGACGCGCAGTCAAAACAAAACTATCGAGGCCTCACTAGCCTCGCTTTCGCGCAACTAGACCCGGGCCGACCGAGAGATCCGCCATATTTGCATTCGGTGTATAACATCAATGGCTACGCTCCTGTTAAGGTGAACATCAAGTCAAGTTATTACAGTAAAGCTATTTACACATGTTCTGATAGGGGGCCATCCTTTGGTAACGGACACGACCTATACATATCCAACAACGCTGCAAGCAACGGCAATTCCTACACCTTCTGCGGCGACAACTACCCCCTCCCCCCGGGGTACTCTGCATCTGGTCACTCCTGTCGATTTTATGCAGGTGGATCCAGTATCTACTTCACTCCCACTGATGTTGAAGTGTTTTACGAGACAACAACCTAAATCCTATAAAGGTAGATCACGTCTGCCAATCCAAGCCGAGTATAAATACATATATGGACGCGGTTTCGTAGACTCCCAAAGGAAAGTGTTTTAAATGGAGGTTTTCGTTTCAATTAAGTAATAAATTCTTTTTAATAAAAACTGGTAAAAAAATTATTTTAAAACCAATTCGGAGATCGATCAGGAGCCAGTGAAGATTCACAAGAAGCTGTGTTCTGCGCATGTTGGAGCTTTTATCATGCCCTTTTAGGCACACCATTATATAGCAACGAATTACAGTATTCAAGGTTTAGAATGTTTAGCATATGGTTGCAATTTTAGTGCACTGGGTTAAGTTAAAAACTGTGGTCAAAACAATTTAGACTCTGAGTCTCGCAACAATCAGCATCAGAAAATATTCAAGGGTGGGGCTTACAGGAATAGTTTAGACAGTCGAACTCCTCCGTCTCTTTTCTCGTACAACGATCTGTATGCCTTGATTTTTGGCTTATATCTGCATGTTGACAAAGAGAGGACTTACAAGCACCATTTTTGCTTCACCTTTGCCATTCAACCAGCACGAAGCTGTATACTAACTTCCTTTACTGGTGATGGGTAACTAAAATACATTGTTGCTTCTCTGTTTTCATTGTCACCGCCATCAATAATGAAGAAGATGCAAACCAGTCAATACAGAAAGTCCAGAATCTGGGAAATGAAAAAAAAGATAACTAGAGATATACAAAAAGCCTCGCCAAGAATCGGGTCTGTGCGATATTTCATATGAGAGATATTCGGAAAAGCGTTATACCCAAATTTATAAAGCTTTGTAAAGAGACGCTATGTTGGTGTCCCTTTGAGGGTCACAAATATGGCCGCTGGAAACCAACAGAAACATCTGTCGTTGAGTTTTTCTTCAAATGTGTGAATTCATCGCTTGAGGAACTCATAAGAAAGATTATTATAACTATTCTGATACAAGGAATATTTAGATAGCAAAATCTTAAAAAATCGGTAACTTTTTTTAAACCCAAATACATGTAAGATAGCTTTCCAGGCAGCCAGGTAAATGCCGCGTCATTTAATCGTTCTCTATCGCAAAACGAAGAACCCTTTCGAACCGAAAATTTGTGTAGATAGCGTGTTTAAGTGCTGTAATACCTCATGAAAGAAGCCCTCAGAAGAAGCGTAGTTTCTTAGTTTGAATTTCGGTGACGTCATTTGAAAACCGAGGAAATGATTTTTACAAATGTTACATACCACAAGACAATACACAAAAAAGACTGCGAGCAACTGGAAATCTAAAAAGTCAGGATAAGTACGTTTCAGATCTATTACTAAAAAAAATGCACCTTATTTGAGCGTCACATATTAGTCTCTTATGGTATAATTAGCGATAACAATTTATTAATCAACAAACCTTTTCATACAAATCACCAGACCACTGGCTTCTCAGCAGCAGAGTTTACCTTCCTTTGCCTCGATTCTTTCTGTCTTGTCGATTGTGTTTTACTGCGCCGGTTTTCTGAGAGTAGAATTGGAGCTGAACAAACAGAAGAAGAGAATAAACGATCTTGAAAACAACGAGGAGACTACGTCGCTAGACGTTCCTAACCAGTTAGCTAAGAAAACTCGTGGTAAGTTTCTATTTCATCTGGTTTAGCATTGATACCAATGTGCTACCAATGCGTTTTTATTTTTTCTTCAAAGACAAATCTTGTAAGTCCAGAAAATTTTGCGTATAGATTTAGTGTGTATACGTATTCGTGGCGCAGCGTAGAACAAAACCAAGGATGAACATGCAAAAATCTTGTTTTGGGAACAGGCAGTTTATTCAAGTATTATTTTTCCTTACATACAATAAACCACTGGATATAACTAATCAGGGGTTCATATTGATACACTCAACTACGGTCCATATCAAAGATCAAAAAAGAACACTAAGTTACAAACAATCAGAAACTGCCTATGGAGTGGGTGGGAGAGAAACTGTAAAATGTAACCCTAGCTTGCTGTTTACAGACGTCCACCTCCCTTTAGAAAAAAAAAAGAGGGGGTCGTCAGTGCAGTAAGGCTAAATGTAACTAGAAAAGCTTAATCTTGATTGCTTGTTTGCTTTAACACTAAAATGCGCTGAAATTATAGTCTAATAATATAAAAAATAAGCACTATAGTCGTAAATGCTAGCGTGGTGTATTACAATTGGTTCTCTGTAGTCTTGTGACTCCCATACAATGTATGTTGCTCAATTCTGAAATAGGCCCACTCCAGTAATTTTCAAACTGCTTGCTCCTTGCCCAGACCTTTCCGGCGTTATTATTGTCCACACTCATATTAATCAGATTAATATTTACCAAAAACAAACAAAAATCGACCACTTAATGATCTTTTTTTCTCATGAGTGCGTGATGGCTGCTCCAGAGTAAACTGCCTTAATTGTGCTTAAGTGACTGAAATTAAAACGAAGATAGTTTTCTTAGAATAAGATTGTAATGGGAAAAAAGATCCTTGTGCCGAGTTTGGATGCAATAATGATCGCCTTTTTCTGGTTTAGTATTAGAAATATGGTCTTTCACTGTGTATTTCTCGGGAAAAAGGCGATCATTATTACATCCAAACACGGCACAAGGATCTTTTTCCCATTACAATCTTATTGTAAGAAAACTTTACGAAAAAATGTCCCGAAAAGCGCTCGAAAATACAAACGAAATGTGCTCTTGCCCCCTGGGCATCCTATAATACTCCTTAAATCGAATTAATTCAATATGGCCGCCGTATCTGTAAAAAAGGTCTATTTCTGATCCTATTGTTTAAATGCATTAGGAATATAGGGCCTAAATACATTAGAGATTTTTTGAGCATAAGAGAAACGTCTTACAATTTAAGAGGAAATGGTGTTAATCTTTGCGTTTTCAAATTTAATCTTAATTTTATGAGAAACTCTTTTACTTACAAGTGCGCTCAACTGTGGAATAAATTCAGATGTCAAGCTGGCCGATAATGTTAATATTTTTAAGTCTAAGCTATGATCAATTCTGCTGTAGTTTTTATATATTTTTAATTCTTTTTTGTAATTTTTTATAATTTTTTATATTCATGTGTACATAGATTATAGATTATATATTTAATTTTTTTTATACTAGATATTATTATCATAATTGTAGATTTAATGCACCTTCGTATTTTGAACGAGTACTTGTGCTCTTAGACGATAACGTCGTTAAATAAATTATTGTTAACGTTATTGTTGCTGTTATTGGTAGCAGTCATCCTCAATGTTTTTGTTTCACCATTTCAGCTACGACAAACTCTTTTTCCAATGCTTAAAGGCCAGACGCACCTGATTGAAGAACTTTACTCATTTTTTGAAGATACAAAGCCCCCTGTGTGGTGAGATAACATAATTAAAATTAATAAATAAATGCAGCAAGAATAAATAAATAAACAGTACGATCCACTCTTATCCATTTGGTACGGAAAAATAATCAGTTCTTCATAAAACGACTTTATCGTGTTCTGTTTGTTTTTCAAGTTCTGATGATGATTTCGAGGAATTTGAGTTTGGAAGTGGCAGCGAACCAGAGGTATGGTATTATTGTTCTCTTTTTTAAACGTAAGACATTAGATTTAAACACGAATTCACCAAAAATATATTCTTAACTTAACAAATTCTGCGCGTTGGGTTATTTTCCCTGTGGCCGTAATTAACCTTTAAAGAATTTCGGTCAAGGAGGGAGCGTTTTAGAGCCACTTAATATATTCATCAAAACAAACAAATACAGAAACAGAAATAAGAGATAGAACTTTGAGTCGTAGTTTAAGGTTAGTTTAACTTCTTGTGATGATTTTTGAAGGTGGACGATTTTGAAGAAGTGGAAATACCATGTTTTGTGGAGCCGAAGAAAATGAAAGGTCGCCCTCCAAAAGAAACTCAGAAAAACAATACAAGAAAAACAAAAAACCTTGTGGGATAGCTAAAGGTTCAAAACAACAGGGAAATGCAAGCAAACCGGCAGGAAATAAAACTATAACAAAAACTAACCTCACTAAGGGAGGCAAGCAATGTACTCTTCTAGGGGGATCCGTCGGAGAAAATGAGGGGGGAAATCTGAAACACCCCCCTAGTATTCCAACAAATGGAGAAGTTACGGGGCAGGAAAGTGGATTGGACGATGAAAGAAATGAGGTTCACCCTCAAGAAGGACCTTTGTCATCAACAGCAACCTTGCTGCAATCAGAAACTAGTAATGACAGTTATCACGGAGAGGAACTAAACCCGGCCTCTGGGGACACTTTAAGCCCCGAACATGAAGAACGCGAGGTGAGGAACTACGAAAGCGAGGAACAAGAGGATGAGGGGAATTCTGACGTGGAGCATGATGGGTATGAAGAGGATGAAGATGACGATTTTCTGGATGGTGAACCTGCTGATTATAATAATGACTTTACAAGTGGTGACTTAGATTGTGACGTAGTTGGTGACGTCAGAAGTGATGCTACCGCAAGTAGTTGTGGTAGTGGCGACGTTGATATGGCCTCTTCGGGTGTTGTGCCAGCTAAAAACCTTCAACGAAGTGAAGAAGGACAGGTGGTTCTACTATGGACCAGGTAAGCTTTAAAAAGCCTATTTAAGAGAGGCCGGTTTTCTCGAAAGAGCGCCCTCCTGCTGCGCCTAGGAGCTAGGATAATAATCTGTTTCGGTATTTAATAATGTTGGATTAGCCCTTCTGGTTTGAAACGTTTGGGCCCATCCAGATTAATTACAAACAATCCAGCAATACCGGGGCAAATCTTCTCAAACGTTTACATGTGTGTACCTTACAAGTGTAATTTATTACATTTGTACAAGATTTTTTGAGTTGGTGAGATAAACCTCTAGACCCGAAAGTGGGTGGGTGGAAGGTAGGGTAAACTAAAATTACATTACAAGATGTCTTGAACTTTTGCTTCAATCACTTATTGAAACTAAATGAATGGCCTCTGCCACATGTTAGGCGGTATATATAGCGTTAATAATAAAATAGAATATGATATGGCCAACTGATAACTATAATCCTATACGCGCGTCAAATCAAGCATTTTAAACGAAGCTCAAAATCAATCATTGATGCACCAGTCTGGGTTGTTTACATTTAAATGGGACACTTAGCTTGTCCCAGGCCAGATTGAATTCTTTTCTTATCTCATTATGTCGAGGGAAATAATAATAAATTTGTTTCTATTTTAATGTCTAAGAATGTTATTGTTCTTTTTTGTTATTAAGGGAGGACGACCGGACGATTTTACAAACTTGTGAACAGATGGGTGCAAAATCAGAAACGTTCCAACACATAGCTGACAGTTTGAAAAACAAAACTGCAGCCGAGGTAAGCGCATTAAGACGGCCAGATATCACAGCTGTCATAATGGTCTAATCCGCTGAGCTGTATTGTATGGCCGTTTTGTGGACTCAGGAACCACACTCATCATGGCACGTATTTGTATAGGTAATAGCATGATTTGTAGTGGTATTTGGCATAAATACCACGAGTGATATTTCAAAATTGTTATAGATAATTTCACGAGCCGTTAGGGGAGTGAAATTTGAGTCAATTTTGAAATATCACGAGTGGTATTTATGCCAAGTATTACGTACAAATCATGCTATTATTTGTTTATACTACTACCCGCAAAGGTTTTATAATTTTCACATGTAGATATTTCAAATTAAGCTGAAATACCACTGCTCTAAGCCAATCAAATTGCAGAAATTTCTCATGTAGTAGTATAACTTTAGTAATCCACTGGCCTGTTAGTAATTTTTCATTCAAAGAAGACTCTTGCTATTTATCAGGTGCTCCGCTTTTAGGCTGACTAAATCCATACATTAGTTTACCACTTAAGAAAAATGTAAATGACTAAAATGCCATGAAATCATCCCCGATTCTCACCCTTGTCTGCTTTTTCGATTTGTCAACGTTCACTCAGTGGTTTTGCCATCTGTTTTTTTGTACTCCTTCCCGGTACTTTTTTTTCTTTCAGCTCTTGGCGGCCTTCTTTTGTTGAATCAATTGTATGTTTTACATTTTTTCTTTCAGGTCCAAAAACGTTTCATGGATCTATGAACCTTTTTAAGGCTAGTAGTGGCGATCGAACAAGGGAATCCACAAACGAAGATTCTTGCAGTGAGGATGAAGCCGAAGACGAAGAAGACAGTGAAACGATTGGCGAATCAGAAGGTGAACAGGCTCACGACGCCTAGCCCAACTTCGATGATGTAGACATCATTGTTACATTCAACGGTTAATCTGCTTCAGTTGGTATCCATCAGTGAACAAATTAAAAAAGACTACAATTGTTGATATTGAGCGAAATCAAGGTAACAAAGGATAAAGCGTTGGATATTCTGAAAATATAACAACATCATGCTCGTTAACAGCAGAAGCAGTTCGGGTGCAAATTTATATGTACGGATATTTAGACAGCATTTGGTAGCCAATAAATTCAATAGTTCAAACTCAGTAACAGAAAATCCCAATCACTGTTCAGTGCTAACGCACGTAGCATAAAATACCAAAACACTTCCGTTGGTTGAAGTTAGACTTCGTTTAAGATAAGCAATACTCCACAGAGTTAATTGTAAACAAAGTGTTTTGTTAGAAGGAAAAAGACCGCAGTACCACAGTGTGTTAATGTTCGATATACATCCTACTATTGCTAATGGTCAAGGTGAAATTTGTAGAACATAAACAAGTTGCATTCTGAAGAGCATCAAGAATGTATAGAATTCCACACGCGTGTACTGCGCGGTAGCTTTCACTGAATGGTCATAGGACGTCAATCAAACTTCTCATTAGTAGACCCCTACCCTTGGGATCAGAAATGGTGTCCTCTCACGGGAGATGTTAGTCAGAGAAGGTAAGGTTCGTCGTGTAAGTTTCATAGGTAGACTGAAGAGAGCTATACCTGTTTAAAAAACTTTTCCATCTCTTTTCCAGGCGATCACTGGTTGAAATTTAGCGAAAATAAATTAATCTAAGGAAAAATAATTATTAATAAAAGCGAATGTTGTATATTCTGGCGGTTGTGAATGGTGATTGTCGTCTCCAGAGCCGCAGGAGCCTGGGCACGATTTGTTTAGCGGCGTCACCACAACAGCTGTCGTAAATTACTGTGCCTCCCCTCCCCGCAAACCAGACCCATAGGAGATGGTGTTATCACAAAGGCTGTAGACTTCCTATTCTGTTTTCAAAGAGGAGTGAGGAATCTTGTTTGTTCTCTTCGAATTGTTAAGGTATAAAAATGAAGGAGAAAGGAATAGTGGCAGCCAGTGACAAAATGACGCAACCATGACTACCAGCAAGGTCTTGCGCGAGTTCTTTGAGTTCTAAACTAACACGGAAACGCTTGCTATGCAGGCCAATCAGTTTTTGAAAGGCTTTCGAGGTATAAATCAACCTTTCTCCATATCCGGTTTACTCCTCCGTTTTGCGCGCGTGGGCGACCTTTCTCCCCCGGATATGGATGGATAACATAACAGCGAGTATAAATAGCACAACAAAGTTGGCAAGATCCCCATATTCATGATGTGGTATCGAGTAACAAGCAGAAGCAACTGTCATATTACAACAAACCCATCATTGTTCTTGTGCAGCCTACTGAATTGTAATCACAACAAACGATGGCTTCTCAAAAGAAAAGTTTGCCTTCCTTTGCTTCGATTATTTCTGTTTTAACGATTGTTCTTTACGGATCCGGTTTTCTGAGAGTAGAATTTGAGCTGAACGAACAAAGGAAGAGAATATATGCTCTTGAAAACATTGAGGAGACTGAGCCGTCCGATGCTCCAAACATCAACAAAATAGTGAGGAATGCTGGCGGTAAGTTTGTTTGATAGTTGAGAGAAAACACCTCAAACAGAATTTGCTATCCTAGTAGTTTTTTCATTCATTCATTCTTTCTTTTTTCTGAAAAGCAAATTTTGTGAGTGTGGAAAATTTTGTATATAGGTATCTTGTCTTTGCATGCTCGTGGCGCGGAGACAAACGAAACCACCGAAGGTGAGGAGGTCAGGGAGATAAAGAAAGATTTAAAAAAATCTACCATATAATGAACTTTGTTTTTCACAAGTAAATGTTGGCTTCTTAGTGAATTGCCTTGTTGTGCCCCAGCACAGCTAAAATTGAATAGTCTGTGTACAGACGTCCCCCCTCCGTCAGAAAAAAATTTGGAGAAGAGACGATAATCGTGTTCCCGTTTCCCCGGAATGTTGGGGACAGCCTCTGATTGGTTGTAATCAAGAGCCATAATGGCTCTTGTTGTAATGTTAATGCCATGAATGAATCTCAGAATGGATTCCCCGGGGAAAAACTCAGCCTTTGTGGACAGCTTAGCGCATTTATATTTGTTTACTTTGATTTCTGCTCTCTGGAATAGGCATGTGAAATTATGATCACCGATGTTTGCTGCACCGGTTGCGGGTGGACGTACTGAAATCAACGCTCAATCAGAGATCTTATATCTGGATTTTAGCGTGGACATTGCGTGAAGATGTTCGGCTATCCTGTGTACAGACGCCAGGGCCTATTTTTTGGCCTACATGTGCCGGTCATGACTCATAGAATTAGGCAAAAGTAAGGCTATTGTAGTTTCCTGCTGAAGAGAAGTGAACGATCCTTTACATGAAACCTACTCAAAATCATCGAATGGATCAACTCCTGCATAAAACGCTTGACTGACAGACAGACTTTATGAGCTAAAAAATTAGAAAAAAAACTTCAAAAGCATGAAATACTCGTTTTAAATGACATTTTAGCTAGATATTCTAGTTAGAGCTTAGCTTAGCAATAAATGTTAAGAACATCCGAGAGAATAACAGCGTACGTGCTCTAAAAGAGTCTCCAGTCGTTTTGGTCTGTCAACACCTTTTCAACTGTCAGATGAAAGAACAACAAAAAATAATTTATGCAAATGTATACCGGAACACGATTAACGACGGCGATTCACAGACGTCTCTTCTCCCGTTTTTTTCTGAGGGAGGGGGGACGTCTGTACACAGGCTAAAATTGAAAACCGAACACGGAAATGATATTTTTTATGGGGAGGGGTTTCTTCCGCAGCAGAGCTGCGGCTGTATTGATCAAGGACAAAGGACCAAAAACGCGCGTGCGAACTTTCCTTACTTCGTTCTCTCGTGAATGCCAAAGGGCCGTTCTTCACGATATCACAGTTTAAAGCAGAAAAGGGTCTATTTCACAGCTTCGATCCTCACAGTGCAAGGGCTCGCTCACACACTACCCAAAATCGTGACTTCTTTGAATCTATAAGCTTTAGTTTTTAATCCGATCTGTCATCAAGTTCTCTGTCGCTCTGACAGACGAGTGACACTATTAATAACAAAATCTAAAAGGAATAAAATCACGCTACACTCTTGCTTCATAACACTTTCCCCCTGTTCATCGCGAATAGTGGTGAACAATTTGGTTGTTCTAATCATAGTTGCAATGTCTCTAATAGAAATGTTCAAAGATCAGTGGTCATCATCAGTAAGTTCAGTAGCGTCTTTTATCCTTGCACGTGCTGCCACAGCAACGTCTCTTGACGGCCTGAAGACAGGTGCTTCAGCGCTGAGGGTGGCTCTCGGCGTAGCTGTTGTCCTGTCACAGGACAGCTCCATTGGATAAAGGTGTTGGACAGGTCTCTCCAGATAAGATCTTCCCGCTCGTAGTTTAGCCCCGCTGACAACTCCGTCTCGTCCAGTAACCAGCTCTTTGACTATTCCTAGCTTCCACAATCCACGATTCTTTTCTTTGCCGTTAATGATGACAACATCTCCCTTAGCGAGAGCCACCTTACTTCCTTTGTGTTTTAAATTGTGTTGCTCACGCAAGCCTCTTAGGTATTCTGAAGACCACCTCCCCCATAATACGTCTTAACATTTCTTCAGGTACCGTGCACGCCTTCTCAGGTCTTGGTTCTCCAACTGATGGCTCTGTGTTTCAAGCAATAGATTCGGGCGGCCAAACTGCAACAGGTTGGGGGTTAATATGGGTAATTGAATGTCCTCTTCAACGTAGCTCAGCGGGCGGTTATTCATGGTTACTTCAACGTCCAGAAAGACATCCTGTAGCTCGCCCCAGGTAAGCATACCGTTTCCCTCTGTCTTGTTAAAGGCTCGTTTGACAAGACCAACCATCCTCTCAAATTGACCTCCCCACCAGGGTGCTCTGGACAGGCTGAACTGCCACTTGACGTCGACTTTGGCTAAGAAGTTATGCAGGGGCTCATCTTTCATAACGTTTCTTAGCCACTTCGCTGCTGCCACGAACGTTTTACCGTTATCGGAATAGATTTTCTCTGGACGGCCCTTTCTGGCGATCAGGCACTTAAGGGTGCTGATGAACTCGTTAGTCTCCAAGGTCTTGGTAAGCTCTAGGTAAAGTGCTCGTGTCAGGCTACAGGCGTACAGGACAATATAGGCTTTCCCTTCTCATGTTTTGGCTTGTGCGGTACTTGATGGGACCGTCGTAGTCAACACCAACAACTTGAAAGGGTGAATTTCCTTCAGTGCGGTCACGAAGTAAATTTCCTTGAGGTGGATTGGCGAACGCAGTGATCTGAAACCGTTTGCATCCGTAACATTGCTTGATTACTCGTTTAACAAGCTTGAGCAATCTTGGTATCCAATGAGAGTCTCGCACTTTGGCCATGGTTAGTCCTACTCCCCCGTGAAGAGTAATCTCATGAGCGTGTTGTACCAACTTCAGAGTGTAGAGAGCACTGTCAGGAAGATAGACTAGATAGTTTCCTTGCATTCTTCCACGGCACTTGACAACCTCCTTTCGGTTTAGCTGCAGGTTAAGTCTTAACTGGTCTTCCTGGAATTGATCAGATCCCTCCCACTGTTTTTGAGTCTTGTTCTCCCAGAATAACCTCTGCTTGTTAATTTCCTCGGTAGTCAATGGACCTTTGATTCTCTGATTTCTTGGGGATTTGCTGTTGCGCAGGAATCGTGAGACCCACGCCCCCACTCTCAATGTGCGCCAAAGGGATGATCTTAGTAACAGTTCGTCCATAACATCGTTGCCTTCTACTGCTAAGGCAAAACTCTGCTTGGAGGCTTTCGCTTCTGCGTTAGATTCTGGGCTTGCAACCGTTATGATGTCCGGCGGCCATCTGTCTTGCTCCTTCAACCATGTCGGACCATTCCACCAGAACGAGTTATCTTTCTTTACTAGTCCTCCTCTACTTGCTAAGTCTGAAGGATTTTCTTGGCTTGGTACATGCCTCCATGTGATTTCAGTTTTCTCTCTGATTTTGCGGACGCGGTTGCTGACAAACTGCTTGTATTCCCCAGAGCCCCTTATCTAGTGTAGGGCGACACTACTGTCTAGCCATGCGTACAAGGACTTAACTGGAAACCCGATCAGCGCATCTCGTACATTAGTTAGCAAGTTAGCCGCCATATGACCAGCCACTAACTCAAGTCTAGGGATAGTAAGACCTTCTTTGGCGAGACGTGCCTTCGCTGCGACGAGTCCCTGCCTCACCACTGAATGTTGCTGGACCACTGCATAAACAACTGCTGCTAATCCCTGTCCACTTGCATCGCCAAAGGCATGAAGAGTAATTTCACGGATTTCTTCTCCGGCTACAGCTAAGGACCTGGGCACCTCAACTTGATCAGACAAGTTGTTTTCCCACTTGCTCCACTTCTTTGCGATTTGTAATGGAATATCTGCGTCCCACGCGATCTTTTCCTTTCATATATCGCCATAAACAATCTTTCCTTGTAGGGTTACAGGCGCAGCAAGACAGATGGGGTCGTAGATCTTCGCAATTTTGCAAAGAACACCTCTTTTGGTAGGGTCAGCAATCTTTGTAGGGAAGGTTATTCTTTATTCCATCGCAATCCCAGAAGGCCACACGCGCCTGGTTTCTCTCCTAGCTGTTCTTTAGCGTAAGTAAGCCCAACTTCACTGTCAGTTGCTTCGGTTAATTCTAGCTCTCTAGCGTTTGAGCTCCATTTGTGTAAAGTGAAGGTGGCCTCTGCAAATATAATCTGTTGCAGTCTTCTTAACTTGTCGCGCCTTTTCAACTGTAGGACGGCCTGTCAGTAAGTCATCCACCTACAAGCCCCTCTCAATCTCTGGTACTGTCTCAGGATAATCCGGCTAACAAATTTCCAGGTGATGCTGAATGACGCCCCCAAGAATAAAGGGTGATGGGCCCGGACCAAAGAAGGCACGCGTAAAACGCAGCGTACGTACTTTCTCGGGATTCGCTCTGTCAATCCAATGAAATCTCAAGGCGTCTCTGTCTTCTTCACGGATGCGCACTTGAAGGAACGCCTTTCTAATGTCTCCTGCTATTGCTACTGCATGAAATCTTCCACGGACCAGCACTCTCTAAATCTGGTTTTGAAAGGGCTGTCCTGTCTCTTGGCTCTGGCAGAGGCATCGTAAACAATACGCATCTTCGTGGTTGCTGCATTCTCTCGAATGACAGCCTTATGGGGAATGTAAAATTCTTTTCCTTTAGCGGGCATTACTGCTTCCTCTACAACCCCCTCTTCAAGCTGCTCACGGATTATGGTATCATGCTCTTCTAACCTGCCGTTTCGTTTAAGTCGATGTAAAAGGGTTGCAAGGCGTTTGAGGCTACCCAACTTATTGTCTGGCAAGGGGGTATGGTTTCCCTTCCATGGGAGAGCTGTTTCGTACCACCCCTCTGGACTGCGTTTCAGTTGTTGAAGGAACTCGTGGTGCACGACTCTCTGGTCACCAATGGGCGTGTCTTCCAACACAAGGACATCCAAGCGGCACAATTCTTCATAGTCGGCGACTGATGTCTGTGTGAGGAACATGTTTTCAATGTCCACTTCAGCACCAGAAGACATTATTGTCCAGTCGAAGCTGGTTTGTTCAGCAATGGGCTCTCCAATTTCTCCCACACGTTGATAACCCGCCATCTTGATTTTTGTGTACTCATTAGCCCCAAGTATAACATGGATGGGGAGAATTTTCTTAGTGTCAGTTTCTTCCATTTGGACTCCCTTAAGATGTCAATAACGTTTGAGGATTTCTGGATAGTTAGGGTTCTCTAGCGATAAAAGTTCACGTTGTTCAATCTCCGTAGCGCAGACTGGTAGCGTAAACCTTCCTTGAGTGTCACTGATCTTAACATCGTAAGTCTCAATGCGCTTGATAACCAGGCCCATGATCGCCTTGATACCGCGCGTAAGGGTCCGAGCGGGTTTAACTCTCAAAAGATCCACCAACAAAGCTGAAATGTAGGTTCCAGTAGCGCCAGTATCGAGCAATGCGCGGCATTTGACTCCGTTAAACGTTAACTTGAACAGCGACGACTGGATGGCAAACTTTCTCCCCCACGTGTGCGGCTGTCATTGCTGCCCCCTCACTTCATAGTTGACTATTTCGGTCGCATATTGAGGTGTGGTGCCTCTGCTTGTAATTCGCGCAGTTTCCTCTGCTCCGACAGTTGGTTGCTCTATGCGGCCCAGTGCAATTGAAGCACAGCCTTTTCTCCTGCAGATATTTCCTACGATCTTCAACACTAGTAATGGCGGTACAATCTTTCGCTTTGTGCGATACTTCACGGCAGTAAACACAACCACGTGTCGCATTTCCGTTGCGTTCCTCCACATGAAAACTTCTTAACGTATCGCGTGACTTCACATTTTTTCGGGGATGGACTTTCTTCCATTCTAGAAGCGCGTTAACCAATTTCGTGAAATTCCACGACTGCCATTCTGGGTGACCCTGTACTAATTCAGCTTTAATTCCAGGCAATTTATTCAAAATACTACGCACCAGCGCCACGCATTCGGAGGTTTTTCCTAATGGTTCGAGCGACTGAACATTGTAGAGCAAAGCTTCATAGAAGTCGTGTTCTTTGGCCGGTTGAGTTCCGGAAATGAATGGAAGCGCAAGAATGTTTTCAATATATGCGTTTGCGATCTCGCTCATCTTCCCATAATTACTCTTCACAAGAGAGGATAAAGGGGACAGAGAAGGCATCCCCCATACACACCCTATTCCATAGGTAATTGGCCTCGAGTTATTTTTAAGACCACAGATCCCAAGGGGGATTGGACAACAGCCAATCACATAGCGCGAATGTGTTCCACGTGGATGACCCACGCTCAGAGCCACGCGTCCTTCACGAATTGACGCAGAACAAAATGGCGGAAGACGCGGAGAGCGATATTGCTATTCGTTTTGTCGACGAAAACGACTACAGAGAGATTTCTGCTAAAGCTGTGTTAGCGAAACAGAAATTAAAAAAGAATCGCCCTTCCTCTCTTGTATAGAGCTATTAAACAGTACAGCAGGGAAATCCTTAACACACTGAATATTCTCTCAGGATCATTTATAATTTACAGTTTGAAGAGAGCAATTTCTGGTTTGATATTTATTCTTTTATTAGTCTTTTATTATTCAACAAAAATAACACTTGGCGTCCTACTTGCTTTATTGTACAAACGACCGGTTTCAATAGACCGGCGAAATTTCTCATTTTATTAATTAAAAGCACTGAGGTTATGACAACTTCCAGTTAAACTGATTTCACGGGTTGTCAAAGAGTCTAGCGATTCCCTTTTCCCAGGTGAGCGCCGACTCATTTCGCTTCAATATTCAGGAATGCTCTCGATCTCTTTACAATTTCATTGCCTCTCGCCCGACATGTTTTGCACGGCGTTAAGTCATGCGAAACCTCCACGAAACATCCACGCAGGGCGCGAGGTAACTTTACCCCGATTCTAAAAATAACTCGAGACGAATTGCCTATGGAATAGGGTGTGCATGGGGGATGCCTTCTTTGTCCCCTTTATCCTCTCTTGCTCTTCAAAATGCTTTTTGCGCGCTCATATCCTTCTGTAGTGAAGGGAAGGCCATCTATTCCTTTACGAACGCGTGGCTCTACTAGCTCCTTGAGATAGGCAAATTTCGTGACTGCTGGTAAATCGGTGCTATCAATTTCTGCTTCAAATTTGTTCCATAACGACAACCAATTTTCAAGAGCCCCATTGTATTTGGTAATCACGAGCTTTGGTAATTTCACGCTTTGTTTATGCGGCAAATCTGGCGTTGAGTTTTGGGCCTTAGAGAATTCTGCCTTTTGTTCCAGCTGATGTCGCTCAAACTTTAGCTGCTCCTCACGTTCTCGAGCTAAATGGTATTCCCTGGTTTCCCGTTCTTCGTTTTCAGAACGAGTGACTATTTCTTTGAGACAAGCCTCTAAGAATTTGATGTCGTTGTCCACAATGTCAATCTTACCTTCGGTCTCCTCTCCCCACTCTTTTACTTCGTCCACAGTTTCTCCCTTTTCCAGTTTTTCTTGCTATATATCCCTCTTTAACTCCTCAACACCAGCTACTATAGTCTACAAGGCTTCTTTGTGTCGACGAATCTTTTCCAAGTTATCGCTAAGAGCAACATCCTTAGTTTTTTCTTTGGTTAGTTCAAGTAACTGTAGCTTTGCGCTAAGCTTGGCCTCCATCTTCTGTATATATTTTCTCAGCGTCCCGTCGGAGGTGCCACTTTGCAGTGAATGCCATAGGGCCTTTCTTCACGATATCACAGTTTAAAGCAAAAAAGGGTTTATTTCACAGCTTCGATCCTCACAGTTCAATGGCTCGCTCACACACTACCCGAAATCGTACGTTCTTTGAATCTATAAGCTTTAGTTTTTAATCCGATCTGTCATCAAGTTCTCTGTCGCTCTGACAGACGAGTGAAACTATTAATAACAAAATCTAATATATAGATTTAGCCAGGGCTAAAAGCGAAGCTCCCGTTAATAAATTCATAATTTAAATCAAACAATAAACTTGTAATCCACAGATCAGGGCACATTCATTTGACGTTTGAGGCAAAGGCTAAGTGATTTTAGAGAAAAATAATTTGACAGTCCAAGAGTGAAACAGCTTTTACATCGAGTTATTAAATAGTCTTATTTGTACACCCAAAAATAGCAATCATGTTCGATCACAGTAGATTAGGCCTGGAAAACAAATAGACCTACCTATTCGTGTATTGTATTTGCATTAGCTGTTGCATCATAATGTGGCATTCACCACTCTCTCCAATATTGCTCCGTTTGAGAGGCTATGGATAATTGGACAACCCCGAAATATAATTTTAAGAAACACTCCTCTGTCTAAAAGAGAGGCCAAAATAAAAAATCAGGCCGGATTTTTTGTGTTCGACAAGTTTAGTTTACTACTGTAGTAAATCTTGGCGACGAATCTGGTGGCGTGTAAACCAGCCTTTTAAACATACGTTTTCTCATCACGTCTCAGGTAAAAAGTACTATGAGGCCCTTGTTTTTATCATACAGACCTCGGACAGAATTTGTTCTTTTCTGCCCTATTTAAACCTATAATTCTGCAGTTTTTCACAATTTTGCAAGAGAATTTGCACTCATTCAATATCCACGACGATCAAAGAGCGCGCTTCCTTTGCACAACAAATTATAGCATTGAATTATAAAACGTTTTCATGAAGAGAATTCTATAATGCCAGGACTTTCAGTTAGAAAAATCTGGTCCTATGTGATATATAGGGTAATATGGGCTTTTAATGAAAACGATAAAAAAATGCCCCAAATCACTTTTCGACCAGCCGGACAGGACTCACTTTTGACAGGCACCAAATTTGCAGTGCGATTAATAGAGTTACCATTTACGCTTCAACATGATAGATAAATTGTATGTTTAGGTTTTATTTCCCTTTATTTATTAAACTGCGTACGGTTTTGTTATGTGTAATCTTTAAAAGCGAGTGATATTTACGCGCGGCGTTTTGAGTATCCCTGCATGAGATGTTTATGTTCGACTGGATACAACCGGTGCAGCGATAAAAATTGCGACAGGGACTACTAACAATCAATAAAATAAATATAATTCGGTGAAACATGTACAGAGACAATAATTTTCATTCACGAAGAGAAGTATTGAGAGTAAAGTGTCTTTGAAAATCATGAGTCAGGTAAGCATAAGCTTATTTATGTTTTAAGCCGGCTTCCCAGTGTTTGCTCTTTTTCAAGATGAACTCGAGGCCAGAACATCGCTCAGAGCTTTCTGTTTACAGCCAAAATCATACAAGTAAATAATCTTCGGAACATTTTCTTTGAATTTGCGGTCAAAAAATGTCTAAAGGCTTTTTAAACCTGATACTATTGTAGGTTAGATCATTGCTCGTATATAAACTTAAGCCGCATAAACCATACGCTCGACTTCAGGAAACCGAAAAAAAAAAAAACACATCAAAGACAACAATTTCTCAGGCTTACCAGTCGAGATGCTGCTTCTGAAGGTCATCAAGTGTTCCAGAATTTTCAACCCTCTTACGCCTCAAGCAAGGGCAAGTGAGTAAGCTCATTTTTGAAAACGATGCCATCCGAAATCGGATTTCCAATGACTTCGACAAGCGGTGCATTTGTCAACAAAAAGCGCAATAAACAAACCAGCCATGAATTACAGAACAATCTTGATAGCAGCTGTGTTTCATTTTGTACACCAAGTAGAAAAAGCCAGTTTCAAACATCACAAGATGACACAAAACTCTGTCAGCTCCAGCTATCAGTAAGCAAGTTTCCAGACGCTGCATAAATTTTCCGCATGAACTCACCTGTCAAATTTTGACCAATCAGAACATAAAAATTGGACGTAGAGCGTGATCAACGCGTGACAGTGAGAAAATAGAGAATACTTCATGGAAAGTGCTGGCGTACGGTATTTACGCACGAGTTGTTGACGTATCAGAAATCGAACGAGTGAGCGCAGCGAACGAGTAAGATTTCTGATACAAAAACAACGAGTGCGTAAATACCGTACAAAGCACTTTCCATGTGGTATTGTGTTTATTATATACATACTGAGTCATTCATCATTTTGCGGGCCTTTTTATTTTAAATCTTTCAAAAATGCTAAAATTTGCCGCTACACACTTACCGCAAAATGACAACGAAAACGAAGTATCAGCTTTTTAGTAAAAACGTTTGTTAAAAACATAAATGACGGTGAGGATATGAGGTTTAATCCAAGAACTATAAGTAATCTTAACTGTTTGTTCTCAATGCACAATTGAAAATGAGTGAATTTAAGTAAAATGGCCGGTTTCAATATAAGCTTAAGCTTAAATGAAAGGCAAAAGTAGCTCCGACAAAAAGCACAACAAAAGCTTACGTCTCGTTCTGTTTATCCCTTTCCGCTGTTGTTTCGCCGGCTCTCTACCGTATTTTTTTATCGACAGTGAAACAAACGAAACTATTCCACTCCATTTCCGAAATGTTTTTCACTTTTTTAGCGAGAAAAACTCCTTGAGTAAAACTTTTCTCGTTGATAAATGTGTGCGAAGCGGCGCTGCAAGCTGCAATAAAACGCGGGAATTTTGGCGCGAAACTCCCACACCTCTGTGGCTTCTGATTGGACGTATCATTTTTCTCACACGTGAAAAAACATCGTTCGCGATTCTGATTGGACGTATCGTTTTTTTCACGTGTGAAAACCATCGTTCGCTCCTCTGATTGGCTATAACTAATTTGCGTACGAAAATTTACGACATAGCTTTTTGGTGAGTATTTCTCAGTATGTATATAATAAAGTCAAAAGTGATTGCCTTCCGCGCATGTAAATGTAAAAGCCGGTTGAATTTTCGCGTCCGAGGTCAGTTCGAAATCAACATTTTAAAAGTGCGGCTCATGAACTCGACTTATTTCATATATTTTTTTAAAAAAATTTGAACTTGAGCCTGCGATAATTGAAAAGTAGCAACCTGTCAGCGGATACGTTAAAAAAACACTCGAACTCAGTGGGTCGATACCTGAACCCGCGATAGGGTCTGGCGATACTGGTCAGCAGAAACATTATTTTGACAGCTGTCAATTAATCAAAATATGGATGTACAATATCAGGTTGCAGGCTCCCAAACTAGCTAGAAAGTGTGAGATTAAACATTGGTATACCTGTGGTGCTGACGGACGGAAGGTCGGGTGGTCGGTGTACGGTCACGTGATTGCCGAATTTTCTAAGATGGATCGATTTTCTAAGCTATGGGACTTCGAACTGAGCCCGTGATCAAATACAATATCAGCGCAAAACTTTAAACACTACGTGACCTCAATGGATAGACTAATGAGCCCGCGATACACTCAGGTGATGATGGTCAGCGTATACTCTAGTTTGACAGCTGTCAATTAATCTTCATTAGAATGGCGAATATTCGAATTAACAGACTACGAGTGTGAGTAAGACATATACGTCCGGCATGTAGTGGAAAATGCCAGATCGCATACCTGAGCGAACCTGAGCCCACCTTATTAGTTTTCTACTAGTGGTCTGCACATGTCCCATTTTGACAGCTGTCAATTGACCTTAATTTGGCTTGCCAATATATCTTTAAACGACTGTCAGCCAACTGACAGCCTTGCCCGTCGTAGTTTGGTTTTTATGTTGAATTGGTAAGTGTGACATATTATATCCGCTTATATGTAGGGGCAAAACGACTGGTCTTTCATCTGAGCCCGCGAGATAGTCATGTGATAATTGTCAGCGGATGCCTAATTTTGACAGCTGTCAATCTAATCGTACTCATACGGATGGCTTACATAACTAAGAGGCTAGTCAAGTTGTGCAAGATCCTTTGTGACATTTGACATCCGCTTACATGAAGCGTGTGTACGGGTGGGCGTACGCTACGTCATAACCAAATTTTCTCAGATGGATAGTTTACCAAATTTTCTTACCCATGGTGCTCCGCTCCGCGCGCGCTTCGCGCGCGCGAGGAGCTCCGCTAAAAGGAATAAAATCACGCCATCTCACAATCACGCTATACTCTTGCTTCATAACAGTTATTATCTAATCAGATACTTGGAACGACTTTAACACCCGGGAAGTGATTTTAAGCAATTGTTGCGCTACATGGAGGGTACGTACTTAGCATTAGATTTGCGAGTTATCAAGGTCAAACCAGGCCAAACTCGTGCAAATTAATCAGCGAGTAGTTATAATTGCACTTTATTTATTGGAGAAGAACAAACGTTTTTCCTATTTGGCGAAAAAGATGATTGACCCTGTCAATCAGGAGGATAGAGTTTAGTTGTTGTATTTTGTCAGATCTTGAAAGCGTAGGCAGTTTAAAGTCTGGAGGGTAAAAAGTGTTATCATTGAGGCGGGCAAGAGAGCTACCCTCCCCCCCACCCCCCTTTTTCCTTGCCTACCAATAATCCCAGTTAACTCTAGTAAGTCTCATAAAAACCAGGTAGACAGAGTCCTCTGACCAGATTTTTAGCACTTACACGAGAAATGTTCTTTGTAGAATCTGAATATTTCAAGCCAGTTACTAGGAACAGACGCGTAGCCGATGCATTGAAAAACACCACAAGAGCTAGAAACACAGTAGACATGGAAACGGTTCTGAAAATCAGCAAACTTTTTTCTGAGTTGAAACCTCAACTCTGTCATTCAAATGGCGTCACATGTCCCCCAGGCCCTCCCGGTCTACCTGGACCAAAGGGAGACAAAGGATCTCGGGGACGAAGAGGCCAGAAAGGACAAACAGGAAACAGAGGAGATCAAGGCATTGTGGGATCGCCTGGAATGAGCGGAAAGCAAGGCATCATGGGACCTGTAGGTCCGAAGGGTGATGTTGGACTCAAGGGACAAAAAGGAGACATGGGACCTGCAGGGATGCCGGGAGCTAAAGGAGAACCTGGTGAATCGATTTCAGCTCCTGTTGTTACTGTGTTCCCTAAAACACTGACAGTTAACGAAGGTGGATCAGCCTCGTTTCAGTGTTCAGTGAGTGGTAATCCTAAACCTGCAATCAATTGGAGTAAACAGAACAGTCAGTCACAAATAAGCCGATCAATGGCTTCAGAAGGAAAGTTGCTTCTTTCGAATGTTCGAGGAAGTGATGCGGGTACATATAACTGTTCAGCGGTCAACATTTTAGGACAAGCGCAGGCACTGGTACAGCTGATAGTAAATGGTAAGACCTTTATGAAATAAACAAAAGAATAAATAGTAAGAAACCAGTTTAGAAGACTCTGCTGTCCTTACATTTCCCTTCGGATAAAGTTTTTCAAAACATAGTAAAAAAAAAGGTTGCAAAACTGAATATCACGATATTATTATGTTGTTGTTGTTTTTTTTCTTCAGAATTATTTAATATGCCTTTCTCATGGCTTAGTCAGCTCTATCGTAATATCTAGCCTTAAAATCCTAGAATCCTCTGATCAATAAAACGAATTGAAAGCAAATCAGTCAAAATATTTTATCTGTTTCAGTTCACCCTCGAGTTTCCCTTCATCCCGGACCTCATCACGCTATTGAAGGAAGTAATTATACTCTCCCATCCTGTCATGTGACAGGGTATCCTGCACCAGTGGTCTCATGGAGAAAGTCGTCCGGTCCATTACCCCAGGGAAGGGTGAAGTACAACAACAGTGCATTACAAATACTTCATGTTCGTAAAGGTGACTCTGACTTCTACTTTTGTGCGGCATCAAACCTGTTGGGACGCGTTGAAAAGAACATACTCTTAGTTGTTGTCTCTCCTCCTCGGTTCACTGTTAAACCACCCGCTAAAGTTCTTGCAGTGGTCGGAGGAACTTTGAAGTTAAAGTGCAGCGCTACTGGTGATCCTCGACCAGTCATCAGCTGGAAAAAACAAGGAGACCAACTTCCCCTTGGGCGGAGTCAACAGATTAATGGCGACTTGGTGATAACAGACATATCAAGGAGCGATAGCGGAAATTACATTTGTATGGCAGCGAATGCAGGAGTATTTAAGGCTGAGACCGTCACGTACACTGAAGTTGTTAAAGGTGCGATTTTATAAAGACATTTAGATATAAACATTTTAGAAGAGAAGTAAACGTAAATTTAATCCAACTGTGCGTTCTGCCCTTAAAGTGGCAGAGGGAAGAGCAACGTACCTTTTTCTTTCAGAGGTATTTGGACATATTTTGGGGACGTTTAGGGAGACAGATGATTGCTATGATTACCAGATAAACGGTTTTACATGAAGTCAGTGAGTTCACGATCAAGTGATTTTCAGAGCGAATGTGCGATTTGTTCTCATAAAGTTCTGAAGCCGTTCAAATTAACGGTTTTTCTGATTTTACGCTTGATAATTAAAGTACTCCTGCTCTTTTTAGTAATATAGATAATTGTCATAGCATCTGTTTTGTTTTGTTTTATCTTTTGAAGAACGGGTCTCCTCATCCACTATTCTTGGCGGCCTTGACAGCAAGTACCTCATTAAGCTGAGTTCATATTTAGACCCAGTCGTTCAGGGTCCAGGCCACAGCAAGTTTGTGAGGTGTTGGCACGCTAAGACAGATGGTTGGGCGGCATCAACATTCCACAGCAACTGTGATGGAAAGGGTCCCACTATAACCATCGTCCAAGTCGGTAGTTACATATTTGGTGGATACACTGACAAGTCTTGGGGTGGTATGTACCATTTCATAAACGCCTTAATCGCACACAGATGTTCACGTTTTCTTGTGGACGGGGACGAAAACGATTCTAATACGCTTCGCGTAGGCGCTTATCTTTTGTGCAAAAACGGCGATAAATTTCTCCATTTTCCAAAAACATCCCGATACGTGTGGACTGGTCGTAAAACCAGCGTATGCGTTGCAGAGAACGCTGTTTATTTGTGAACGGAAGTCAGAATTCGGACCAAAAAAAACCTAAATTATATCCGGATACGTGTGGATAAGTCCTCTTTAATAAGCATATTAGCAACAGACAACGTTGGCATAAAGAGATGGTTAAAAATACAACAACAATAACTAGACCGCATGGGCTGTTTTATTTCGATTTTTTTTCTCTCTGCAGTATTCTGTTTGTCTCTTAAAATGTTGTGATAAACGGTTTGAAAGTATTGAAATACTTTCACACCAAACAATTGGTAAAAAGTTGTAATTTTGATCTCCGTGACAGACTGTTCTAATGGATCTAAATTAAATAACTAACTTGTTGGGTAAATAAATACCAAAGCGAACATACTTGAAATTTCATTTTTTCTACAAGAGTTTACTAGCAGCTGTATAATGTATATATAGGACAGTGCTTTTTGAAAACTTCACTGATTTTTGGTGAGGACTGGTGTGTTGCCTGGCTTTGTTAAACGTTATAGCATATTCTGTCAGAAAGGTTTTAAGTTGAAAAACATTCAGCTTCGAACACAGATATTTATAGCTGTCATTGTCGTCCTTGCTACTGGAAGTGTTTTGAATAATTTAAATTAATATCTGAAAAATGTTTTCCCACAGGTTCTTGTAGTTATGTCTATTCAAGTAAATCGTTCCTGTTCTCGTTATATAACATCAATGGCTACGCTCCTGTTAAGGTAAACATCAAGTCAAGTCGTTACCGTCACGCTATTTACACATGTTCTGATAGGGGACCATCCTTTGGTGACGGACACGACCTTCACATACACAACAACGCTGCAAGCAACCGCTATTCCATTACATACTGTGGCGTTTCCTACCCCCTTCCCCCTGGGTACTCTGAATCTCGTTCTTACTGTCGATTTTATGCTGGTGGATCCAGCTACCAATTCACTCCCACTGATGTTGAAGTGTTTTACGAGACGTCGACAACACCTTAAACCCTGTAAAGGTGGATCATGTCTGCCAATCCAAGCAGTAGGAATACATATATGGACGCGGTTTCGTAGACTACCAAAGGAAAGTGTTTTAATGGAAGTTTTCGTTTCAATTAAGTAACAAAAAATTCTTTTAATAAATACTTTTAAGAAAATTGTTTTAAGATCAATTCGGAGATCGATCAGGAGCCAGTGAAGATTCACAAGAAGCTGCCGGGCGGTCCTGCGCATGTTGGAGCTTTTATCATGTGCTTTTAGGCAAACCATTATATAGCAACAAATGACAGTATTCAGGCTTTAGAATGTTTAGCATATGGTTGCAATTTTAGTCCACTGGGTTATGCTAAAGCTGTCCAGATGAAGGTTCTGGTCTATTTAGAGCAATTGTTTACTTGCCTCACTCATAACGGGTACACATAACTGGCCTTTGTTTGCTTTATGCACAGTAGATTCCCTGAACGTCAGCTTTTCAGTTTCCAATAGTTTCGAGCACATAACATGAAATGCTCTTAGAAGATACAATAATTTCTACCTTAATCCGAAGTCATAATCTACCTTTCCATTAGAAATTGACTTGGGAATGGTGCATATGCAGAGATCTAAAAATAAAATGAAAATATAATGAATCAAATAAGTAAGGATGGCATTGCGCAATCGGACCTTGACCAGTGTAAGGAGAGATTTTCCATGAATTCTTTATTTGCCTCAAATTTCATATATAGCTTTCAAATATTCGCTTTGACGTTGTTTTTAGTAATCCATACTGAATTTGCATAAAGAGGTTTTAGCTCCGCAGAAAGGGATCGTGCCATTTTTATTATCCTTTGTTTCATTTGCTTTGTGTTCGCTAGGTAATAATCACAACAACAACAAAAAAAGCCAACAGTGTTCCTTCACAAACAAAACTAATTGCTCATTCTCTTTTCAATTATATACATTTTACGCCAATGTTGACTCTTGAAAGAATACTTTATTTCTTAATAATGGTTTATTTGACTTTAGTCTATTCTTCGTGATTTTAGTACCGGACGACAGTTATTCATAGAAACGCCTTTCGTGCAGGTGCATCTCGTTTTAACTGCAACTTAGTTATATTTATTTGCGAAAATATATTTCATTAAGTTGTTAGTTAAGGAGAGGTGATAACCGAATTTTGAATATGAAAGGTTTTGCTGTCTTGTAATTTTAAAAATAGACCGGTTTTTGTTTAAGGTGAAAACTTCCAATTAGTCTGCGCTTTTCCTGTTTTTAAACAATCGACAGCTGAACTTGCAATTTAATTCATATTGTAACACTTTGTACGTAAACGCTGTTTTGCTGACCTGGCTAGGTCTTTGTCTCAGTACTTTTACTTTCTAAAATAGCAACAGTAACAAAAGATTTCAGGTTAAAAATAGAATTTGTATTTAGTTTTCATTTAACTTCAGTGATTTCTGTTTATATTTCTATTGTATTCTTTTGTCTTCAATGGTTGTAAGAATCATATATAAGTAAGTTGCTTTGAACTGATTTTTCGATTACATCGCCGATTACATTTGTGAGCTAAGTTGCGCCACTTGTTCAAGAATAAATGCTGTTGGAACCAAAGTTCAGTTTGCCTTTGCTGTACCAGTTATAATTAGTGGTTTGATCCCGGACCTCAAGAGAAGTGACGGCTCTTCCCCGCAAGCGAGTTGCCATTTGAGTCTAGTTTTCCCCAGTTTTATCATGAGTCAAGCACCGAGTTCCCGTTGAGCCTTAAATTCGTTTAAAAAAAAACCTTCCGTCACACCAGGATGCCACAACCCAAGAACATCTAAAATTTTAAATGTTTTATAATCGCATGTTTTCATTGATCAGTTGTTTATTTTAAGATCGATTTTCTCTGGAATTCAGCCTTTTGCGCACACCCCACAATCCTATGAAGGAAGGCGCTGTCTTCATAATTTTGTGGTTTAGTACCAGTGAGTACGGAAATTGGAAGCTCATTTTAAAAGTGAACTTCCAAAAAGCGTTTTAAGCCGGTTATTAACATCAGAGGGATGAAAATTAAACTACTTAATTTAATTTGCTCGGCTTTGGTTTCACGTATGCACTTTACCTAATTGACAGAAACCTTTTTTTAAGCAAATAGATGCCAATGGCAAACATTTCAAGGATATTTCTTATTTATCACATTAAATATAGTTTCTTGATTACTAGTTATAACACTTGATTAGCTTTCACGGCGCGCGTATTAAAGCCTGTGTGCAGACGTTTGAAGGGGATAAATGGAAGAGAGAACTTAGCCCGGGAAGGTACTCCCTATGATGGTCTGCACGGGGAGGCTCCGCCCGAAATGGGTACCCTTTTCAGGCTTCTAGGTATATGAAAAGGTAGGGATTTCACTAGTTGGAGTATATAAAAGAGGTGGGGAAATCTGTCATTTGGGTCTGTAAAAGGGTCCAAAAGGGCTAATAGATACATTTCATGGTTTTAAGGTGTCTAGAAAACGTTCTATTTTTGTAATTAATCGCTATTCAAAAACCAGTGCATTTACTGCAATTTAAAGGAATGCAAAGTTCTAAACAAGGTATGTGAAAGGGGCACCATTTGTCAATAGAAGGTATACGAAGATGGTACCTTTTTCGTGAAAAATGGTATATAAAAGGGTAAGGGGTTGGACTTCGGGGCGGAGCCTCCCCGTGTAAACATTTGTTGAGTACCCCCCTCCGGAACTAAGACGCCCAACCGCGGGCAAGCCAATCCTGTATTCCTTTAAACGCTTGTCACGCAGGTTGGGCACGAATTGGCCCAGATAAAGGATAATAGATAAAACAAAAAAGAAGCATATAAAGATAAAAGCTGTAATAACATGCATGACCAAAGAGGATGAAAGTTCAAACTGAAGAAAACTGATGAAAAAGACGACGAATATCATACATGTCGAATTGCTCAGTGTGCCTAACTCTTAGCAATCCAACAAAACTATTTGTAAAAGGATGACAAATAAACTTTACTAAAGTCTGGCCGAGATATTATTAAACGGAAACTGTGGTTAAAACAAGTGTGACTCTGAGTCTCGTAACAATCGGCACCAGAAAATATTCAAGGGTGGGGCTTACAGTAATAGTTTAGATGGTCGAACTCCTCAGTCTCTTTTTTGTGGTACAACGATCTGTATCCTTTGATTTTTGGCTTAAATCTGCGTTTTAACAAGAAGAGGACTTATGAGCGCCATTTTGCTTCACCTTTGCCAATCAATCAGTACTAAGCTGTACGAACTTCCTTTATTGGCGATGGGTAACTAAAATACTTTGTTGTGTCTCTGTTTTCACCGTCACGCCATCAATATAAGGAAGATGCAATCCAGTCAATACGGAAAGTCCAGAATCTGGGAAATGAAAAAAGACAACTAGAGATGTACAAAAAGCCTTGCCAAGAATCGGGTCTGTGCGATATTTCATATGCGAGATATTCGGAAAAGCGTTATACCCAAGTTTATAAAGCTTTGTAAAGAGATGTCGTGTTGGTGTCCCTTTGAGGGGCACAAATACTGTATGGCCGCTGAAAACCAACAGAAACATTTGTCGTTGAGTTTTCCTTCATTTGCGTGAATTCATCGCTTGTGGCATGGAACTCATAAGAACGATTTAACTCTATCGCAAAGCGAAGTACCATTTCAAACCGAAAATGTAGAGATAAAGGTGTTTAAGTATGTGTAATCAAATGGTGACGAGTGAAATTAGGGAATAATTTCACGCGCGTTTTGTCCAAATCCTTATAATTATTAGGATTTGGACAAAACGCAAGTGAAATTATTCCCTAATTTCACGAGTAAACCATTTGATTACCTATTAATAGCATAGGTGACGAATTACGTTAGCAATCGAGGATTTTTGACTTGTTTATCCTGGATCGTATCGATCGATCGTGAACTCCACTCTCTCAAACGTTTAGAGCTAAAATTTGGCTTAAGTTTTCAGAATTTTTCCACAACATACCTCTAAGAATCCTTCTTGATGTGCTCTTTCCTGTGTTCAGGTTTTCTAAAGCGTCTTTTTATGCCCCGACATCTTCATTCATGACATTTTAAAACTTCTTCGCCATCTTGAAACGGAGACGTACGGCAGGTTGCTATGGCAATTTGGTAATTTCACATGTGAAATTACAAATTAACGCTGAAATTTCGCGCCAAAATTAAGGAGTAATTCGTCACCTATGATATTAGTGCTGTAATACCTCATAAAAGAAGCACTCAGAAGAAGCGATAGCTTTTGGTGACGTCATTTGAAAACCGTGGAAAGGATTTTTAAAAATTTTACATACGGCAAGACATCTCACAAATAGACTGCGAACAACTGGAACTCTAAAAAGTCACGATAATGTACGCTTCAGATTTAGTAATAAAAAATGCACTTTATTTGAGCCTTAATTATTAGTCTCTTATAGTATAATCAGCTGTAACAACATTTATTAACAAACCTTTTCATGAACTAATCACCAGACCACTGGCATACCTTCCTTTGCCTCGATTCTTTCCGCTGTCGATTGTAGTTTACTGCGCCGGTTTTCTGAGAGTAGAATTGGAGCCAGTGAACCAACAGAAGAAGAGAATAAACGCTCTTGAAAACAACGAGGAGACTACGTCGTCAGCCGTTCCTAACCAGTTAGCTTAGAAAACCCGTGGTAAGTTTGTATTTAATCTGGTTTAGCATTGCAAAAAAAGTGCTGCAGAATGCGTTTTTATTTTTCTTCAAAAACAAATCTTGTAAGTCGAGAAAATTTTGCACATAGATTTAATGTGTTTTCGCTTTCGTGGCGCAGAGTAAGACAAAACCGAAGATGAACGTGCAAAAATCTCGTTTTGGGAACTTGCTGTTTATTCAAATATTATTTTTCCTTATATACATACAATAAACCACTGGATGTATCTAATCAGGGGTTCATATCGATACACTCAATTACGGTCCATATCAAAGATCTAAAGAGAACACTTAAGAGGCAGTCTCCCTAAAAGCGTTCCACTCGATTTCGGACTCGAAAAAACTTTTGCCTTATATTTTTACCATCAACACTACTATCCATCCTAATAACGAAACTGCAGTTAGAATGAGGAAATTGTTTATTTTACTGCCATTCCCAGCATTTCATTGCTGGACGGCCGTTAGCGGCTAAAATATGCAAATTTTAGTCTCTGTTATACCGGGTTTTTAACGATCGTTCTAAAGTTCTTTGGGTCATCAAATCCTAGACTATTTACACTCATTTGGAAGCATATTACTTCTTCTTACTGTTCCAATACCATTTAGGCATTATCTTTCCTTAATCGACAAAAACTGGTCGTCTTTATTTCGCTAATTAAATAACGAAAGCAAACTGCACCAAAAAAAGCCTCAAAATCATCAGAAAATTCTCAAAAGTGGCACCTAAACTAGATCTAAAAACAAGTTTTAGTTAAAGATTAATAGCTATTTTGTCAAGTTATGCAATAAAACTTGTGGCACAACGCGATTCAGAATTGAAGATTTCAACTCAAATTTAGGCAAATGTTCAATTTGCGTTGCGTGACGATACCGGCTGCTGTCACAGCAAAATCCTCAGTTATTCAAATACTTGCCACTTTTAAGTAAGATATGCCTCATTTTCCCACCAAAACTATACTAAAATTCCCTTTTTCCCTTTGCCAATGATATATATTGTTCAAAAATTAGTTCAGCAAGTAAAAGTTACCTTTCCAAGCTTCATTTAATTTCCCAGCGCCCCGAACATTTGTGTAAGTCTGTTATGTCAAGACGGAAAATACCTTTCAGAACCAAACCTCTTCTAGCTTAAAATGTGGTCCAGTCTGAAAAAGCTGCATTGACCAGAAGTTACTCCGATCCATCATATTATAAAATCGAACGTTAGAAGAAAAATAAATTTCCTACTGCTTAATTAAATATGCGTGAACAGGTCAGAAAATGTTTGACTTGTACTTCGCCCCATGTAAGGATATCCGGATTCCGGAATCTGGAAAATTTTTGCTTGTGGATCCGGAATCCGGGAAAATTTTGCTTATGGAATCCGGAATCCAGGGCTTTAGAATCCAGAATAGAGTAAGGAATGGAATCTAGAATCCAAGTTCCACTGAAAAGACTGGAATCCAGCACCCGGAATCCAGAATCCATGGAATGGGATCCAGAATCCAAGAACTGTCTTGTATTCGCTTACATGGGGCGACAGTACTGGTATGTGAACGGCGAATTACTATTTTTCCTTTATTTACATTCCACTGATCAGGAGCCCACATTTGAAGACCTTTGTTAATGAAATTTCAATTAGAGGGTTTCTTCCTTTTACTGAGTGTTTCTTCCTACTAAGAGTGATCAGCTTTTGTTTTCACACTCCAACAGACAGTCAGAAGTCCAAGGCT